GAACTCCGCCAAAGTACTATAGAGAACAGTGTAGAGGAGATTACTACAGAGGTCAACTGGGAACTCCGCCAAAGTACTATAGAGAACAGTGTAGAGGAGATTACTACAGAGGTCAACAGGGAACTCCGCCAAAGTACTATAGAGAACAGTGTAGAGGAGATTACTACAGAGGTCAACAGGGAACTCCGCCAAAGTACTATAGAGAACAGTGTAGAGGAGATTACTACAGAGGTCAACAGGGAACTCCGCCAAAGTACTATAGAGAACAGTGTAGAGGAGATTACTACAGAGGTCAACAGGGAACTCCGCCAAAGTACTATAGAGAACAGTGTAGAGGAGATTACTACAGAGGTCAACAGGGAACTCCGCCAAAGTACTATAGAGAACAGTGTAGAGGAGATTACTACAGAGGTCAACAGGGAACTCCGCCAAAGTACTATAGAGAACAGTGTAGAGGAGATTACTACAGAGGTCAACTGGGAACTCCGCCAAAGTACTATAGAGAACAGTGTAGAGGAGATTACTACAGAGGTCAACAGGGAACTCCGCCAAAGTACTATAGAGAACAGTGTAGAGGAGATTACTACAGAGGTCAACTGGGAACTCCGCCAAAGTACTATAGAGAACAGTGTAGAGGAGATTACTACAGAGGACAACTGGGAACTCCGCCAAAGTACTATAGAGAACAGTGTAGAGGAGATTACTACAGAGGTCAACAGGGAACTCCGCCAAAGTACTATAGAGAACAGTGTAGAGGAGATTACTACAGAGGTCAACTGGGAACTCCGCCAAAGTACTATAGAGAACAGTGTAGAGGAGATTACTACAGAGGTCAACAGGGAACTCCGCCAAAGTACTATAGAGAACAGTGTAGAGGAGATTACTACAGAGGTCAACTGGGAACTCCGCCAAAGTACTATAGAGAACAGTGTAGAGGAGATTACTACAGAGGACAACTGGGAACTCCGCCAAAGTACTATAGAGAACAGTGTAGAGGAGATTACTACAGAGGACAACTGGGAACTCCGCCAAAGTACTCTAGGGAACAGTGTAGAGGAGATTACTACAGAGGAGAATACTGGAGAGTAGAACACTGAAGACGTAGAGGAGAACAATCCAGAGGAGAACACAGGAGATGAGACAAAGTAGACGAGAACACGGTAAGGGATATTGAGACAATTGAAGATAACGCTATAGAGGAAAACACCATTCATCAGTCAGTCATCTGTATCACCACATCATGTCCATTGTCGAGGTTCCCTGACATTATTTTACTGCAGTTAATACCGTATGGACACGGGTTTTAGTCTGTTATATCTCTGGTGAAACCCATGAGGATGCGTGTGGCTCAAACGGTTCACGGGTCTTAATCAGGGCGGTCAAAAAACAAAGCTTTATTTCCTCTACAGGCTCATCCTTATCGTTCTAAGATTGTGGTTTCTGAAAAATGCCCCTTTACAAACTTTAAAAACATTGTATTTCCTCTTATAAGACTATATTGACGCAATCGTATTGACGCCATTTCAAACAAAATGGCGGCGTCCAGTGAAGACGATCTGTTTGATAATCAAAATATTTTTTTTGTAATAAAACGGGTCTATCTCGCACGCAATTGTCAGAACTGTAAAGCTCAATACGCCACATTCCTTTCCTCAAAATATCAGCGAAATAGCGTTGTTACTTATGCCACGTACAGCGATGTAAAATTATAACTCACTCACCCAATACCAGTGCCTAAATATAAGTACATAGGCGTAGGAACCGGGGTGCAGGGTATGCATTACAAGTTCATAAAATGTATCTTCAAATTAATGTGTTTAGATTGACTCGTTTAAAGAAGATAAGATAACCTATGATGTTTCGCTGACCAAGAGCACGTGGTGCAAACATGTGGTCACTACATGGCCGGTACATAGACTGGATTGAAATATCCCCTACGTAGCAAGAATAAGAACTGCTGACGTCCGCCACGAGGCGAACTCTGTGCCACCAAGTCAAAACCCATCCACCCTTTAAATATGGAGCTGTTTTGCAGAGACGGCAGACAGGCGGCAGACAGACGGCAGACCGAGACAGGCGAACATCACCAGCAACACAGTGAAAAGGTCCCGAGAGCCTTAGCCAGAAACAGAACCATTTTGTACGTACAGAAATAAATCTTCGTTCCTGAACAACGAAACGTGTCTTCTGTTTTGTTACACCCACCACCCCTTATCCCGGGTTCAATTCGAATGCCCCCCCCCTCCTAGGTTTTATAACTTAAAAGATGAAGATAGATTTGTACATATAATGAACGAAAGTAAACTACAAAGCCTTTTAGCCTCAACACTTGTAAAATGTGTGTGTGTGTGTGTGTGTGTGTGTGTGTGTGTGTTTATAATTTGATTATAGTGTTTCATAGGCCAATTTGTGGCTCGACGCACTGCATTTTAGACGTATATATCATGTATTTATTTACATATTCAAGTGCGTGTGACACTTAAATAAACAATTATTTACTACTACTACTACTACTACTACTACTACTACTATCCCAGTAGCCATCTGTTGGTTGGATACGTTCTTCCTACACTTGTACATCACATCACCCCTCGGGATCCTTACATCACACACCGCCGTGTTTCTACTAAACATTGCAATGTCGTATAGAGTACTGCTGTTCGGCGTTGGGAAACAAACACTCACTATTTCATGCAAATTGTGTGAGTGTAGGGTGCTACCGGGAGAGCCGGGCGTGGGTTTTTTCGCACACAGCTGGCGTGATCAGTGACTTTCAGTGATTCTTCTATTTTTCAGCGCTTTTACGGCCACACGGAATCTCGTTCGTTAGACTTTTTTAGACATTTATGGATATTGTCATGATGAATGGATATTGACATCAATAACATAACTGCTCCGAGTTTAGTAGTCTACGGTGCTACCAGCTGTAGACGTTCGACCCGTGATGCTGGCAGTGCTGGTTGTTGTTGGCGAGATTGGGCAGTATCCAAGCAATTTCGAAGGATATTTTAGGTCCGCTTCTGCGAATAAGGCCACCGGCTTTGCAGTCGACAGAGTGAGTGAGTGAGTTTGATTTTACGCCGCTTTTAGCAGCATTCCAGAAATATCACGGCGGGGGACACCGGAAATAGGCTTCACACATTGTACTCATGTATAGAATCGAACCCGGTTCTTCGGCGTGACGTCGATAACACTTGTTAGAAGTTGTCGGACAATATGGCCGATCCAGCGTCACTGACTGTTTCATTGCTCTCATGTATGATTGACAGGTGCAATGTATTACTAAGTTGTCTGAGTTCACTGGCCAGGGGGGCTTGTTAAGAAAACATTTGCAGCCCCTCGTTATATTTTACTATCTTCCAGTAACCTACGGAATGTAATCAAAATGACACCAGATTTTGAAATTAATTGACTTGATGATTCATCGAAATAAATATTGACTGACATGAATTTTCAACTAGACAGTCGGGGCCAGCTATTTCGAAAACTGGACACATGGCGATAACATTCGTTACCACTCGCCCCTTTCCGTAACCTGCGAGAAGACTCGTCAACCTATCGATGAATGGATGTGCGAAAATACGACAAACCAATCAGAATGCGCGTAGACTTCAATTACTTCGGTCAAAGAATCCTTTAGGAATAATGTTTAATTTAGCATATGTCTTACATTTAAAAATATACCCAAGATACAGTTAAATGTGTTCAACCATACCGTATAATAATGTAAGTCCCGATGTGTTGCCAATAGCATCTGGAATATATATGACATGTGGGGGAAATATACGTGAATCATTAGGCAACGTGTTGACAGTGACAGTTCTTTTAGCTATGCCCGTTTGCGCTTAGACGGAACCCAGTCGCAAAGATGGCCACGCGATGGGCATAAGTCGCTATTCGACTTTTCCCGGAATAACACGAGTGGGTCACGAATGATGGCGATAAGTATGACAGTTCCGCTATATTTGAATCAGGCCGAAGCCACTTTGTTTGCAGGTGAACTTAAAATATAAAAAATAAAGTTTACCAATCGAGGTAGGACCAGCATTCTATGTACACAAACGCGTCTTAGTGTCACACAAAGAACTTATTACAACATGTAGTCCTTCTGTTGTAGCGGGCATGAGATCGGGGCATATTCTCCTGTTAACAGTAGGTACTATGTCAATCTGCGGAATGGTATATCTGTAAGGGTTTGACTAGTACAAGAACACACACACACACACGCACGCACGCACGCACGCACGCACGTACGCACGCACGCACACACACACGCACGCACACGTACACATTCACGTGTGCTATAAGTGCTATAATCTTGAACGCGACGTCAAAACTCCATTGCACGTCACCTCATCTACCTTACCTAGGGCACATCCAAATGCATGGCACCAACTTGAAGACCAGGGTCCCGTGACAGTGGTGTTATTCAGGCTATACATAACGGTCAATGTCAAGTGACTTTCTGGTTGTAATAATAAGTGAGTGAGTGAGTTGGGTTTAACGCCGCGGTTAACAGTATTCCAGTTATATCGCGGCGTGTCAGCTTAATGTGGGAGGAAAGCCCGAAGTGATGCGGGTCTCAGACGTTTCCCACTTTGGTGAAACCCACGAGCACGGGTATGGTGCTGACAAACCTAGAAAAATAATTCGGGGCGAACCGGGATTCGAACCCACAATCACAGGTATCTAGTGTGCCCAAGGGACGCAACTCTGCACCGCAATTCGCGGCGCCTTAGACTGGGCCACCCGTGCACCCCTATAATAATAATAAGAGTACGCGTGCTCACAAGAGATATCACCAAATATTGGAATATAGGGTTACAGTAGAATATGGATATAACGAACTACAAGGGACCGGAGAAATCAGTTCATTAAATACGTTGTTCGTTATAATTACAACGTTTTCGCTTTTAAACATCCGCCATCTTGGATAACATAAAACACAATACACATACATGCAGCATTGACTTGTATTAGCAGTGATCACTTCATATTCAATTGATAACATTTCATAACATTCACTTACGAACATTTAATTCATCATGATGATATTTTTAGAACATAGTCTGATTGTGTTGATTCGCCGCGATTGTGTTGATTCGCTGCTGTGTCAGCTTAATGTGGGAGGAAAGCCCGAAGTGTTGCAGGTAACAGAACCCACGAGCACGGGTATGGTGCTGACAAACCTAGAAACATAATTGGGGCGAACCGGGATCCGAACCCACGATCACAGGATTCTGGTGTGCCCAAGGGACGCAACTCTGTACCGCTAATTGCGGCGCCTTAGACGACTGGGCCACCCGTGCCCCCTATGTAATAATAAGTCGCCTTCATACACTCCCAGATACAATAAAGACATCACATCACTTTGAAGACAAACTTCAATAACTTCACCCCAATTCACTCACTATGTCGCTCTCAGTATCATCAGATATAGGGTTGTGTTGAAGCCTAATGCTTCGTGCGTCACGCCGAAATTCCGGGTTTGATTCCCCACAATTTCCAAGTCCATTTCTTACATTATGATCGTGATATTGCTAAAAGCGTAGTAAAACCAATCAACACTTAACACATGTACATGTAGGTATTATATGCATTCGTTAAAAAGAATGTAAAAATGCTTCACCAATAATCAGCTAAGAGAAAAATAGGTTCACCGAAGCCACGACTTTTGTCGATAGCTAAAACAGGTGACCATCTGTCAGTCCACACAGGTCACAAAGATTATACAGCAGAGTCTTGGCAAGTTTAGATTTACTGCTAAAACAAACGTTAACCTGACCATTTGAAACCGCTGATTGCCTAATGCCTGTAATTGTTGATTGTTGATAAAAGTAGTTGAATAAGCTGATCATTTACAATGCATTCACTCGAGAACAGCAAAATAGACAGACGTAGAGTAACTACTCGACTGCCCATCGTTACATTCCACCAGAGTCCCGTGTCTATAAGTGGGGTGTAATTCCGTTCCACGCAGAACGTCTACTGTTCCTTAAACGTATTTTGTTTGGTAGCAGATACAAGTGACTCCAAATGCAATCTGAATCAGAATAGTTCCACACGCCCTTGTAAGAATAGATGACAATGGTGATTGGGTAGCTTCAATGTCTGGTATATGAGTATCGCCTTATCTGGACGGCATGGATAGTTGCTATTGATGTCAACCACTTACAGTCCACTGTGGGGGCACGGGGGGCCCAGTCGTCAAAGGCGCCGCCATTCGCTGTGCAGAGTTGCGTCCCATGGGCACGCCAGAAACCTATGGTTGGTTCGAATCCCGGTTCGCCCCGATTATGTTTCTAGGTTTGTCAGCACAATTTCCGTGCTCGTGGGTTTCACCGAAGTGGTAGACGTCTGAGACCTGCATCACTTCGGGTTTTACTCCCACATTAAGCTGACACGCCGCGATATAACTGGAATACTGTTTAAAGCGCCGTTAAACACAACTCACCCACTCACGCCAACAGTCCGCTGTGAAATAACTGGATTATTGCTGACTGCGGAGTGCACAGAATTGATGTTCACTCGCGAGTCAGTGAAGGGACAGTGTTTTACGCCGCTTTGGGCATTATTTCTGTTATATCGAGGAGTGTTAGCTTGTTGTGGAAGGAAACCCTAGGTGATGCCTGTCGCTGACAAACCTAGAAATATTATCGAGATAAATTGCATTTTAACCAACGACCATAGGTTTCTGGCGCGCTAAAGGGGCGCGACTCTTCACCCCGAATTGCGGTGCTTTAGACGACTGGACTGCGTTCCCTTTATAAAGAAAACATTATACAGGTCAGAAGTTATTTTCAGCCTGCGATTTGAGAATTGTGTAAATATCTCGAGCTTGTTCGCATAAGGGAGCGTAGGATAGCCATGTGGTTAAAATGTAATACTGAAAACCTGGGTTCATTTCCTACACACATGTGAAACATATTCTTGGTGTCTTCCGCTGTAATGAAGCCGAAATTGTATTTTATGCCTCTTTAATTGCATATACTAAGTTTGGTTAATGTATAACAACGTGACAATAACAAACCCGAAGGAGGTCGAAACAAACAATACGAAAGTACATGGGCGAAAATAAATATAATGTCAAGTCAATGTATGTTTGGGTTACCGAAGTGTTTAGAGGTCACCTCTTCTTCTTAAGGACAGCCTCCGTGGTCTAGTGGTTGAGCGTCCGCCCGGAGAGCGGAAATTCCGGGGATCGATCCCCGGCCAAGTCATACCAAAATACGTTAACGGGTGATACTTGCTGTTGCAATGGCGCTCGCATTAAGAGGCTAAAACAAGGTCTTGTCGGCTCGGAGTCAGTATACTGTGTCTGGGTGGATTATTCATGCGGCATTGTATCTCAGTGGGTAATCGGCATTAGTCCGGACTAGTACAAGCAGCCACACACACACGTGCATCCACGTCGCCCTATAAGTGCAATAATCTTGGTAGCGACGTTAAACCCCATTTCGCCTTACCTCACCACCTTCTTCTGAAGAAATAAAAAAAATTTCACGATCTGAAAATTAAACCCGCGGATCTGCAGGATCCATGCAGTCAGCAACACCCGCGGGAAAAGAAGGTGGGTCAGTCGGTTGAGTGTTTGCTTGCTTTCGACCCACTGTACCAGTGAATGAGTTGGGTTCAACGCCGCTGTTAACATTATTCCAGTTATATCACGGTGTGCCAGCTTACTGTGGGAGGAAAGCCCGACGTGATGCAGGTCTCAGACTTTTACCACTTCGGTGAAACCCACGAGCACGGGTATGGTGCTGACAAACCTAGAAACATAATCGGGGCGAACCGGGATTTGAACCCACGATCATAGGTTTCTGGCGTGCCCAAGGGACGCAACTCTGCACAGCGAATCGCGGCGCCTTAGACGACACCCGCGCCCTACCCACTGTACCAGGTACCAGTGGTAAACTTGATGCTACAAATATAATATATATACATATATAACATTTGAACAGTTAAGGACTGGAGCTCCTTTACAATCATTTCACAATTTATTGTGAACAGTGTTCGTGTTGAGTCCATGTGGCGCGCTCCCCTTGTCAACGAAAGTGCACGTGGAAGGCAACCATTCCCAAAACGCAGTGTAACTATTTTTCTGAGATATTTACATATCTTCAGTGCTAGACACAGCTACCAAAGACGCATTCTTGAAAGGTGGGCGCCACGATTGGGGCGATCGCGATATCTTTGACATGTACAGGTGGCAGCCCAACTCGCACATGTACCTGTCATTGCTTTTGTTATTTGATATGTGTTTCACCCGAATTGATGCAGGTCTCAGACGTTTCCCACTTCGGTGGGACGCAACTCTGCACAGCGAATCGCGGCGCGTCGGACGACTGGGCTACCAGTGCCCCCAACAAAAGCTTTGATAGCTCAACCCTGCAATAATATGGACCTTCCACTTGTTCATATTCATTATGCTACCATCACACCAAAGTAGTTCTATTCCGTTCTACCCCGTTCTAAACAAAATACTAGAACGGGCTGTGATCACGGTAGAACGCGTAGTTTGGCGTAAAATACGATGATATGAACGATTGTTCATAAGCAGTCCTCAATACGTCTATCTCGTTCTTATCTCGTTCTTAGTCAGTCTGCAGTCCGTTTGTATCCAGTTCAGATCGTGTAAAAGTGCCCGTTCACCTCATCCCGACAACGTTTCGAAGCAGTTCGAGCAGTCCGTAGCCGTTCTCAACCCGTTCACAAGACGTCTAAGCCAGTTCTAACTAATTCTTAACCCGACCAACTCGTTCGCAGTACGTCCTCATCTCGTCCCAAGTGCGTGTGTATTCGCGTCCTGGCCCGACTCCTATGGATACCGAGCGCGTTGTAGCCAGTCTTCATTCAAGTTCAGGGCGCCGAGCTGTACACATCATGCCTCCAAAGAGAAGTCGACCCGGTCGGTGTGCACACGTTCTGAAATTTATGTCGGATTGCACCACGTCGTAACACGTCCCTGGTAGATTCCACATACGGCAATTCCGTTCGAAGTACGGTAATTCCGTTCGTAATACGTCTTTCTCGTTTTAAGTACGTTGTCAATCCGACTAACTGCAGAACGGGCCGGACGGGATAAAAATTTGAGCAGACTCAAAGTTCTAGAGCACCCTCCCCTTCCGAGCCCGTCCATGAAGTTCGTAAAAAGACTGTCAATAGTTGCTACTACGTCCACTGCGTTCATACACAGTTGGAGCCCGTTCGACAACATTTTCATGAAGGTATTGAGAACTAGTTTGGTGTGATGGGGGTATTAGGGTCACACAGGCCTCGTCATCGCATATGTATAGGGCGTGGTATGGTAGTCTACGCTAGTGGTTGAAGCGTTCGCTTATCACGCCTCCAGGTCCGGGTTCGATTCCTCACATGAGTAAAAAGTGTGATCCCATGGCTGGTGTGCACCTTGATATTGCTGGAATAATGTCAAAAGCTGCGGAAGACCATCCTCACTCCAATACTGCGAATTATACCAACCTATCGCCACCAGTCAGTCAAGGAATATGATAAACCAGACAGCCCGTACTGATACAGAATTCGCCATTTTGCCTGACAACTGAAAATATGTCTTACTGTTATCTCAGTGACAGCTATTTTTCAGGTCAATTTTCAGGAAAATTTAAATAAGTCTCATATATTTATTATGTACACCGCAATTACCCATTTTTGTGTAGGTCTTAAAGATTTCGAACAATTAGAAGATTTTAAAGATCAACCTAATATGTTAAAAGATATTTCAAGAACTATCGACACACAATGCTGCATTCGAAATGCAACACACATAATCTTACAAGAACAGTATCTCTCCATAGTCCGGACATAGTTTATCCGGAAATCCAGCATTTCGGACATTTAATGTTATGAACAGGAACAATAATCAAATGGACATTGGACGCCTCCGTGGTCTAGTGGATAGAGTTTCTGCCCAGAGCTTCTGCCGAAGGTCGGTGGTTCGATCTTTTAACCTGTCGACTGTTTAACCTGTTCTGTTCTACAAGTGGCGAATATGTGTAGCTTCCAGTGGTGAAACATAGTTTGAGATCAATCGTCAGTGATTTGTGCCATACTGTACGAGATAGACATTCTATGTGGGGCAAGCCTGGACGCTCCCTGTCATTGCGTTTATACCTTCTGACTATCTGCCCAGCATGAAGTGTGTCATCCTCGCTGGTCTCTTAGCCCTCGTTGTGGTAAGGCAAATCAGTTTCAATAGATTTAATAAATTATACATATAATATGTATTCAACAATTTAAATTTCTTCGGCAGGTCACTTGAATTGATTTAATTCTTATAACTTAGAAGCAATATGGGAACAGAAGACAGGGTGGTCGAAAGCGCACTAAATCGCTATGCAGAGTTGTGTCCCTTTGTCATGCTAGGATCCGGTGATCGAGGGTTGGATTCCTAGCTTTGCACCGATAATGATCCTTGGTACATCAGCAACATACGCTTAAACACTGGGAAAAAGATAGACCCATATCGTATCTTCCCATTCCAGGGACAAGTATCGTCCTCGTAGGGAGTCCGGATTAGAATAACTCCCCAGCAACCTATGCTGGTCGGGTGGTGATTAAATGGATCGGGTAGTCAGGCGTGTCATCCGACGTCGTGGACCGTTGCTCACTATAGCACTCGATGAATTGTCTGGTCCAAACTCGATAACATTAGTAGGAATAATAGCTGGAATATTGCCGAATGCGGCGTTACACAAGAAAGATACGAAACGAAAGCGACACTGATCAGCTTTGCAAGGCTGCGTACACCAGATATTGACCGCCTCCGAGGTGTAGTGGATGGAGCGTCTGCCCGCAGAGCGGAATGCTGCTGGTTCGATGCCCTTGTCGCGCAATGCCAATTTGACCTTAAAAGATGGTATTTGTTGTTACCCTTCCTTGCGCTCGACAAAAGGGGGAATAAAAAGAGGATTGACCGGCTCAGAGTCACGATAATGTGTCTGAGTATGGTATCCATGTTATACTGTTATATCTCAGTGGTCTAGCACAATAAAACCGACTCATCTTCGGACGAATACAAACAACGACACACACAACGTCAAATCCTATTTCTCAGGCTTGGCTGCAGTGATCTTAGCACCGACAAATTTGCCAGATTTATATCCGACAGCCCGAGATGTTGTTGTGGCTATCATACAGAAGATGCACTTCATTTCTTTCTTACGTGTCCCTTAAACAGTACAGTAAGGCAAAACATGTATTATTTCGTAAAAGGCTACGATTTAAATTCGATTCTAAATGGTAGTTCAAATGTAACGATAGTAACAAATCTTGAAGTTTTGAAATCGGTGCAAAGTTTTATTCTATCTTCTTGCCGATTTAGCGATTTTGTCAGAGATGTTGGCTTTACTATGTGATACTGCGATGTTGTTGTGCTGAATGTAAATAATAATGTAACTGTAGTCATGGAAGATAATCCAATAATTAAACACTTACAGAACAATACTTGTACTTATCTTTATTGCCAATTATACAATGTATGCTATTTCTCATGTCACTATCAATACATTGCTATTTGTATATGTATCATGTTTGGGAGTCGCATTCAGATAAGCAAAATTTGCTTATTTGCCAATCCCTCCACTTATGGAAATAAATATGTTTATATCAAATCTTATTTCACCTCACCATTATCATTTAATTATCCGCGGTGTGAGGGACTGAGATTTGTCGAGATTCAATAGGGTCCTGATGAAGGAGTAAGCATATACTCCGAAAAGTTGTGTTCCGCATAATAAAGAAGTTGACATCCATATATTCTCTTCCTTTGTGGTTGTAACATGATTTTACGTCCGCTTCAGGCTCAACATCACTTCCATCCGTTCCGTCCACAAGGTTACGTGGACAGACACGATGGCTACAGCTTCGAGTATCACATCCGACACGTAAGTCTCATAACGTGAGATATACAAAAATAAGCTAATGTATATGGCTGACGGTATGTGTTAAACGTACATTATGGTACATTCGTCTTTCATACTTCCATACAGAGCAAAATGTCATCACGGTGGTATATTCAGCAATAACGAAATATGAGCTTTTTGTCCCCGCCCGCTTTACTACATGGACAAAAAACCCAACTCCCATAATTCTATTGCCCCAAATACCCACCAAAATGGCTGTGTGTTGCCTTGCTTGTTTAATCGATGAAATACACTGGATTTGCACAGTACGCACACCTGTTTTAAAGTTTTTTCCTCTATAAACGCACAAAATGTTGAAGTCAAATTTTAACTAAATCCAGTTTAAGTAAAGTGTTATGCCTATTCATCTAACAGCTAAATATATGATAAGCCAATTTGCACAGAATGAATATCTCAATTTCACGCATAGCCAAATTTGCAGCATCTAGTATTATGTAGGGAATAGGCACCAGTAAGGGGTGTGTTGATCAGGTTTCTTGCATAACCCAGAAGTTTCAAAATGAAATTCCACATGAAGGAATTTAACGTGTTACTTGGAGATTATCTTACCTTTTCACACTGATCTTCTCGGCATACAGATTTAAAGTATTGAATGTTTTGTTGCTTTTATCAAAAGTCAGTAATTTGCCCATGTATTGTTGTTTCAACAGTCAGTAATCTCCCCATGTATTGTTGTTTCAACAGTCAGTAATCTCCCCATGTATTGTTGTTTCAACAGTCAGTAATCTGCCCACGTATTGTTGTTTCAACAGTCAGTAATCTCCCCATGTATTGTTGTTTCAACAGTCAGTAATCTGCCCACGTATTGTTGTTTCAACAGTCAGTTATCTCCTCATGTATTGTTGTTTCAACAGTCAATAATCTCCTCATGTATTGTTGTTTCAACAGTCAGTTATCTCCTCATGTTTTGTTGTTTCAACAGTCAATAATCTCCCCATGTATTGTTGTTTCAACAGTCAGTTATCTCCTCATGTATTGTTGTTTCAACAGTCAATAATCTCCTCATGTATTGTTGTTTCAACAGTCAGTTATCTCCTCATGTATTGTTGTTTCAACAGTCAGTTATCTCCTCATGTATTATTGTCTCAACAGTCAATAATCTCCTCATGTATTGTTGTTTCAACAGTCAGTTATCTCCTCATGTATTGTTGTTTCAACAGTCAGTAATCTCCCCATGTATTGTTGTTTCAACAGTCAGTAATCTGCCCTCGTATTGTTGTTTCAACAGTCAGTAATCTGCCCACGTATTGTTGTTTCAACAGTCAGTTATCTCCTCATGTATTGTTGTTTCAACAGTCAATAATCTCCTCATGTATTGTTGTTTCAACAGTCAGTTATCTCCTCATGTATTGTTGTTTCAACAGTCAATAATCTCCTCATGTATTGTTGTTTCAACAGTCAGTTATCTCCTCGTGTATTGTTGTTTCAACAGTCAATAATCTCCTCATGTATTGTTGTTTCAACAGTCAGTTATCTCCTCATGTATTGTTGTTTCAACAGTCAGTTATCTCCTCATGTATTGTTGTTTCAACAGTCAGTAATCTGCCCACGTATTGTTGTTTCAACAGTCAATAATCTCCTCATGTATTGTTGTTTCAACAGTCAGTAATCTCCTCATGTATTGTTGTTTCAACAGTCAGTAATCTGCCCATGTATTGTTGTTTCAACAGTCAGTAATCTGCCCACGTATTGTTGTTTCAACAGTCAGTAATCTCCCCATGTATTGTTGTTTCAACAGTCAGTAATCTCCCCATGTATTGTTGTTTCAACAGTCAGTAATCTGCCCACGTATTGTTGTTTCAACAGTCAGTAATCTCCTCATGTATTGTTGTTTCAACAGTCAGTAATCTCCTCATGTATAGTTGTTTCAACAGTCAGTTATCTCCTCATGTATTGTTGTTTCAACAGTCAGTTATCTCCTCATGTATTGTTGTTTCAACAGTCAGTAATCTCCTCATGTATTGTTGTTTCAACAGTCAGTAATCTGCCCATGTATTGTTGTTTCAACAGACAGCAATCTGCCCATGTATTGTTGTTTCAACAGTCAGTAATCTCCCCATGTATTGTTGTTTCAACAGTCAGTAATCTCCCCATGTATTGTTGTTTCAACAGTCAGTAATCTCCCCATGTATTGTTGTTTCAACAGACAGTAATCTCCTCATGTATTGTTGTTTCAACAGTCAGTAATCTGCCCACGTATTGTTGTTTCAACAGACAGTAATCTGCTCATGTATTATTGTTTCAACAGTCAGTAATCTCCTCATATATTGTCGTTTCAACAGTCAGTAATCTCCTCACGTATTGTCGTTTCAACAGTCAGTAATCTACTCATGTATTGTTGTTTCAACAGTCAGTAATCTGCCCATGTATTATTGTCTCAACAGTCAGTAATCTCCTCATGTATTGTCGTTTCAACAGTCAGTAATCTCCTCATGTGTTGTTGTTTCAACAGTCAGTAATCTCCACATGTATTGTTGTTTCAACAGTCAGGAATCTCCCCATGTCGTGTTGCTACAACAGTCAGTAATCTCCCTATGTCGTTTTGCTACAACAGTCAGTAATTTGCCCATGTCGTGTTGCTACAACAGTCAGTAATCTCCCCACGTCGTGTTGCTACAACAGTCAGTAATTTGCCCATGTCGTTTTGCTACAACAGTCAGGAATCTCCCCATGTCGTGTTGCTACAACAGTCAGTAATCTCCCTATGACGTGTTGCTACAACAGTCAGTAATTTGCCCATGTCGTGTTGCTACAACAGTCAGTAATCTCCCCATGTCGTGTTGCTACAACAGTCAGTAATCTCCCTATGACGTGTTGCTACAACAGTCAGTAATTTGCCCATGTCGTGTTGCTACAACAGTCAGTAATCTCCCTATGACGTGTTGCTACAACAGTCAGTAATTTGCCCATGTCGTGTTGCTACAACAGTCAGTAATCTCCCTATGACGTGTTGCTACAACAGTCAGTAATTTGCCCATGTCGTGTTGCTACAACAGTCAGTAATCTCCCCATGTCGTGTTGCTACAACAGTCAGTAATCTCCCCATGTATTGTTGCAACAACAGTCAGTAATCTCCCCATGTCGTGTTGCTACAACAGTCAGTAATCTTCCCATGTCGTGTTGCTACAACAGTCAGTAATCTCCCCATGTCGTGTTGCTACAACAGTCAGTAATCTCCCCATGTATTGTTGCAACAACAGTCAGTAATCTCCCCATGTCGTGTTGCTACAACAGTCAGTAATCTCCCCATGTATTGTTGCAACAACAGTCAGTAATCTCCCCATGTCATGTTGCTACAACAGTCAGTAATCTCCCCATGTCATGTTGCAACAACAGTCAGTAATCACCCCATGTCGTGTTGCAACAACAGTCAGTAATCACCCCATGTCGTGTTGCAACAACAGTCAGTAATCACCCCATGTCGTGTTGCTACAACAGTACACCTTCGTCGTGAGGAGCGCCTCCAAGTGCTACATCATGGATGTGACAGATGATCAAGATGAAAAACTCCGACACAAGGATGAACGGTACCAGATAGAGGTGAGTGGCACTGGCACCACTGAGGCCCACAGGCCATTGTGGCTTCAAAGTGGCGAGTCGACGGCTGTCGGTCGGTATCATATCATAGCAATAACCCATTGGGAGGTGTCGTGTATTGGAATCAATAGAATAATCAACCTAGACAAGGTACGAGGGGCGTTCAATAAGTTTTGCAAGTCTGGGCTGTACAGTTAAATCACCCACCATACAGCCCAGACTTAGCTCCCAGGGACTATTTCCTGTTCCGGCAAATGAAATCTGCCCTAAGGGGAAGACGCTTCCAGGATGACGAGGACATAAAGGTTGCCACAGAGGCGTGGTTAGAGGGCCAATCTGTGGATTTCTATAAAAGTGGTATTAAAAGCTTGAAGGACAAATGGAATAAGTGTATTGAGGTGAATGTAGATTATATTGAAAAATATAAGTGCAATATATATTCTGCGACTTGGTCTTATATTGAAGTTATACAACGCCCCTCGTAGATATGAAGTTTTTGTGCCTGATGTGCGATTATAGTTTAGAAACAGCGATACTAAGCGAGCAGTGTTGTAGAGAGTGTCTGGTCTTGTGTAAGGGCATAATACGATAGTGCATTTCTGACACTCGTGATATTAATTGATTTGTTGATTGGTTTGTGGTTAGGCCATCCATATTCTTTTAAAAATAGTCTGATTGTTAAATAGTGTCAAAATGGTTCATAATATGATTCTTGATTTAATATTTTCCAAACGAGTAAACACATACTCATGAAATCACGGCATCGTTATTGTGCTTTATTCGTCGTGTGTCAGTTGCTGTTGACAAAATAATCGGCGCGATTACAAGACACGGGAGGGGCGATGGGGTAGCCTAGTGGTTAAAGCGTTCGCTCGTCACGCCGAAGACCCGGGTTCGATTCCCGACATGGGTACAATGTGTGAAGCCCATTTCTGGTGTCAGAAAAAAAATATGATAAAGACGGCCTTGTCGTTAATGAAGCTAAGGGCTGACATGGACACTCAGGTTGCAGATCAGCTAGTAAGGCAACTTGTAGGTGTCCCTCCCATATCTCGCCGACTCTCAACGGTATACAAGTAACTGTACTCCTGGTTGAAATGATGCTTCATGGATATGGAACATCAATATCTCATAATGACGACTATGCTTGCCGTAAGAGGCGACTGAAGGGGTCGGGTGGTCAGGCTCGCTGTCTTGGTTGTCATCGTATCCCAATTGCGTGGATCGATGCTCATTTTTGTCAATCACTGGATTGTCTGGTCCAGACTCGATTATTTACAGACCGCCGTCCTATAGCTGGAAAGTTGCTTAGTGCGGCGTTAAACAACAAACAAACAAACAATTATCTTATAGAATGGCATCGGAAGGTGTTGTGGGTGTAGCGTTCAATCGTTATGCCGAAAGCCCGGGTTCGAATCCCAATGGGTACAATGTGTGGATTCCATTCCCGGTGTCCCCCGACGTGATGCTGCTTAACTTTGCTAAAAACCGACTAACTCACTTACGACTTACTTTGCTGTTCAGTTTTAACATGTCAAGCTTCAAGGGGCGGTCAGGTAGCCTAGTGGGTATAGCATTCGCTCGTCACGCCGAAGACCCGGGTTCGATTCCCGACATGGGTACAATGTGTGAAGCCCATTTCCGGTGTCCCCCGCCATGATGTTGCTGGAATATTGCTAAAAGCGCCGTAAAGCCATACTCTCTCACTCACTTAACCATTATGATGACGTCACGCTATTGTTGTAATAGTTGATTCTCAGCCAGGAATTCACTGACCATTCTGAACGTGCTGGAATATTGCTAAAAGCGGCGTAAAACCATACTCACCCACCCTCCAAATAATGGTTGATAACTTGTGTATGTTCCCCAGGGAGATAAGCACGTGAAACGAATTGCACACAGGTCCGTTGATATGGGTTATGATGGCTTAGAGTGTACCTTGTGTAGAATCGCGTGCTGTCTACCGTGTCTAATATTGTGAGTGAGGATGTGATATTTGCTTTGTTCAACATTTTTAGGACGAGGTTCTCAGAATGATCCAGAACGACCAAAACCTCCACTCCACCACCTTCCTCAACCTGATGCTGCACCACCACGATGCTATCTTGGCGGCGGAATGCAGAGCCCACGATCTCTATCTGATCGATTTCTTCCCTCAAGCAGGTTCTAGCAATTAAATCTGTAGCTCAATAAAGGTTAACCTTGTGCTCCCACGTGACTCTTAACATATGGACCGCCTCCGTGGTCTAGAGGTACATGTAGAGCGGAAGGTCCGGGGTTCGTTCCCCGGCCGCGTCATAACAAAAGACGTTAAAAGATGGTACTTATTGTTACCCTGTCTGGCTCTCGGCATTAAGGGGCTAATACAAGGACTGGTCGGCTCGGAGTCAGTATACTGTGTCTGCGTGGGGTATTCATGTTAAACTGCGGCATGGTATCTCAGTGAGCTAGCACTATAAATCCGGACTAGTACAAGCAGCCCCCCCCCCCCCCCCCCCCCACACACACACACACACACACACGTGCATGCACGTCGCTATGTCAGTGCAATAATCTTGGACGCGACGTTAAACCCCATTTCACCTCACCTCACCTCTTAACATATGGCCAAATGTTGGGAGTCCTGGTTATATTTGTCCAAGCAGCCTCACAAAACGTACAACTTTATGGATAACAACTTCTGATTTATTGCACTTAGCGACGTTTCGATGTAGATCCCTACACTGTTATCTGCTATAATGATAGCGGTATCACTCTAACTTCATAACGATGAAGGAATCTTCATCGAAACTTCGCTATATGCAATGAGTCAGAAGCTGTTACCAATAAAGTTGTACGTTGTACGTTTTGAAATTTTCTCTTCTAGAACTTCTAGAATGCCAAACAACACCCAGCAACCTATGCTTGGTGTAAGAGGCGTCTTAATGGATCGGATGGTCATGCCCGGTGACCTTTCTGAGTGTTATCAAACCACGACGCTTCTGCTAGGCGCTCATAATATCATCCACGGGTTTATCTGAACCAGAAACGATGAGTGTGTATTTCCTAGCATGCACACGTGTGTATGTTAATGTGTCACCTGTGAAAGGATTGTTCAATGGTTATCGGGGTAAGTGAGGGTTAAAAAAAACAATTGGTAGCTCATCCTCTGAAGCTCTAACCTACCAACATATTTCCCCAGAATTCCATCGTACACCACTCCCAAGAATATTCTGGATCCGAAATCAAGTTTTATTTTCTCGCAGGATGATACAGCAAACAATTTGAAAGAACATCGATTCAACTTGATACGGCTGCAGAGCAGGACATCCACCTGGCATCATCACTGATACTAAGTTTTCTATTCATGTAATTTTAACCACTAATTTGCCTTTTACGCCAAACGGGATATATTTTGGTAGATAATCGAGACTGGTTATTTCTGGTGCTGACGTTTTATGTACTGGCTGGGATACTCGGAAATAACTTACAATTTCCACATTGTAAGAGACATTACTTTCTAGTAATAGTTGTATGATAATAATGAACGAAGTGGGAACACCTCACAACCGGCAGTGAAGTAAGACAGTAGATCTTATGACCGCCAACGAGCTTGGAGGACAATAGGGGTAACATGGGGAATTTTATGTTGACGTTTTTGGATCAGTACACTGTTGCGCGAAATACCGCCACGATTTGTCAAACATTCATTCACTCGACGTCTCCCAACGGCGACTTCAGGGTGTCTGTCCTACTCCCCTTGCAGCGCCTGCCAAGTTAAGCCAACGAAGGTCGGCGGCTTATGACGTTGACGTGCACGTCTCCCTATAATGTCCCAGACGTGTGCAATGGGGAAATTGTCTGGTTTCATTACCGGACATGACATTCTATGGGTGTTGTGCTACTGGAGGTGAGCATTGACGATTCGAGCACGGTAAGCACATGCGTTGTCGTCCTGAAAGACAGAACATCGACCCCCATGCCTTGAAACGAGACAACAAAGGGTGCCAGTGTGTTGTCCCGATAGTACTGTCCAGTGACCCTTCCTTGCACAATATGGAGTGTGGTTCTGTCAGTCATAGTGATGCCCCACACCATAACCGATCCACAGCCACATCTAACATGGGGTCTCGGGCTGACGTTGGCTTGACGTTCAGTTTGACGTCACCAGACACGACCACGCCCATCATATGGACGTGCAAAGTGATTTGGGACTCATCTGAAAACATGACACGCGACCAGCAACGATTAACCCAGATTCACCGTTGTGTACGCCATTGACGTCTGTTGGCAAAATGACGATTTGTAAGGGGACGCCAAACACGTGGCCGTCGAGCATGAAGATGAGCTGCCTGTAGACGATATCTAATTGTCTGACCCGTAACTCGTACGATTTCGTCTGTTTTCGGAACAATCGATTCTCTTACTTTTGTCGTTGACCTGGGACACTCTTAACGGTCGATCATCAACATTTTGGGTTTCTTGGTACCTGTTCCATTGTCTGCTAATCACAGATCGTGAAACTGTTACGTATTGGGCACTGCAGATTACATCTACGTCAAAACAATTTCTATTCTCAGCTACAATTTGATAACTGTCAGTAAGGAATGTGTACATATATTTATATTATACAGTCATGTATAAACAATATTCTAGTGCTGAGATATTGTCATCAAGCAGGGGACACGGGTGGCCCAGTCGTCTAAGGCGCCGCCATTCGCTGTGCAGAGTTGCGTCCCTTGGGCACGCCAGAAACCTATGATTGTGGGTTCGAATCTCGGTTCGCCCCAATTATGTTTCTATGTTTGTCAGCACCATACCCGTGCTCGTGGGTTTCACCGAAGTGGTAAACGTCTGAGACCTGCATCACTTCGGGCTTTCCTCCCACATTAAGCTGCATTGGGCACTGCAGATTACGCCAATAGCCCCGTAGACACTCCTCGCTTGGCACACAACCAATGACTGAAATCAAGTAAATCACAACTGTATGATCAACGATTCAATAAGATTGACATGAATAATCGACCTTCCTTAAAGTGTCAAAATCAGGAATGACGCCTTTCGCACACAGACCTTCTTGCAAAGCATGTTTGACGTCAACACTTATCTTTGTTCTAATACTTGGTATTAATATTTATCTTTAATGACATCCTACATTTTTAAGAATGTATTTCTGAGTATGAACTATCTCCAGGATTACTTTCTAAACAAGGTCATAGTTATTTTTCAGAGAACGCAATCATAATGCTCAAGTACTATTGTTATCAGTGGATTCAGATCAGTCGTGAGATGCGTGGGATTAGCATGCATTACATATCAATAATTTTAACAGTATCTTCAGCGGCAGTAGCCTTTATAGTGATTTATTTTGTCACTTTCGTTACATATTTTCTTATTAGACAACGCGTATGCAATTTTCATAATGAACAACAATGACATTTCAATAAGGAGAGATAACTCGTCTTAGATGTGCATAAGGCCACTTGAGAACAAGTGCTTAAAACACTACTGATCCACCTCCTTTCGAAACTTATACGTATTTTCTGCAATTCGACACAGTTTTTGTATGAAAATGTATGTTTTCCCAAATTCAAACATACACAGCTAAAACATGTGGAACATTAAAGTTTCTTATAGTTTGGTTCCGTTTGGTGTATATCTAGACATGTGATGGTATGGTTTAATGATACTGTCTTATTAAGTCTCGCCTTCTGGTGTAGTGGATAGAGTGAGTGAGTGAGTATGGTTTTACGCCGCTTTTGGCAATATTGCAGCAATATCACGGCGGGGGACGCCAGAAATGGGCTTCACACATTGTACCCGTGTCGGGAATCGAACCCGGGTCTTTGGCGTGACGAGCTAACCCTTTAACCACTAGGCTACCCGACCGCCCCTGTAGTGTCCTACCCACGATGTGTGCTCAATGCCCAAGGCCATTTTTGATTTGGTGTTGACGTACAAGATATGTTCATGCAATGTTTACATCTACGTCAAAACAATTTCTATTCTCAGCTACAATTTGATAACTGTAAGTAAGGAATGTGTACATAATTACATAATACAGTCATGTATAAACAATATTCTAGTGCTGAGATATTGTCATCAAGCAGGGGGCACGGGTGGCCCAGTCGTCTAAGGCGCCGCGGTTCGCCGTACAGAGTTGCGTCCCTTGGGCACGCCAGGAACCTATGAATGTGGGTTCCAATCCCGGTTCGCCCCGATAATGTTTCTAGGTTTGTCAGCACCATACCCGTGCTCGTGGGTTTCACCGTAGTGGTAAACGTCTGAGACCTGCATCACTTCGGGCTTTCCTCCCACATTAAGCTGACACGCCGCCATATAACTGGAATACTTTTAAAAGCGGCGTTTGATCCAACTCACTCACTCACTCATCAAGCATTGACTCTCCAACTGATTCATTGCCTTGATACCATCTACCGCGACGACGTGGGTTCTTGTTGCTATCAATCAATGCTTTGCCGGCTCCTGACTCGAATGTACATTAGCGGCGTAAAACGCGCCCATTAGTCCCAAATACAATTGAAACTATTGTGATGTCATGGTTACCCAGTGCATTGGTAGCAAATACGTCACGGGTTTGTATACACTGCCTTCTTCCCTCACCTGTGAATACATGGACGAATTGCGGTGCAGTAGTGATGTGTGTCTTTCACAAAGTCAGGCAATCGCACGAGGCCGTGTGTCATCGAAGTCTGATGAACTTCCATGCATGAAGTTTCTGGAAACCCCACTGTTGTCTGATATTTGTTGTAGAGTAGATGGACCGCCTCCATGGTCTAGAGGTAGAGCGTCCGCCCGCAGAGCGGAAGGTCCGGGGTTCGATCCCCGGCCGCGTCATACCGAAAGACGTTACATGATGGTACTTGTTGTTACCCTGCCTGGCATCCCAGTGGGCTAGCACTATAAATCCGCATCAGTCCGGACTAGTACAAGCAGCCACACACACACACACACGTACATGGACGTCGCTATATTAGTGCAATAATCTTGGACGCGACGTTACACCCAATTTCACCTCACCTCACCTGTAGATGGCTGGAAGGTTGCAGATGAAGTTACGGGAGAAATATTGCCGTTTGCACTCATTGGCCAGAGAACTCTCTTGTTTCCTTCGGTAAGCTGTTCTTGGTTAATTGCTTCATTGTCATAATTAGCGATTTCTCTGTGAAGATCATGGTTAAAATTGGTCTTCAGAAACCCGTTACTAAACAAACAAAAACATCACAGGTGACAGAGCAACCTTGTGTATACAAACCTGTGAAGTGTTTCTTTGTTGTTCAATAGTCCAGCCAAATGACTACGTTTTGTAAATAATCAAGACTGGACCAGATAATCCAGTAATTGACATCATGAGTATCGATCTATTATTTTGGGATGCGATGACATGCTTCATACCAAGTTTGACCACCCGTTCTCGTTCCCGTTCTGAGTTCTGTTCCCTTATGAGAAGCATGGTTGTTGAAGACCAATTCTTACCCAGGTCTTCATGAGTCAATGGTGTGGTACCTTTATGTAAGGTTATCTCATTTGGACCTCAGCCCTCTTACGTATGTGGCTATGCGAAGATATAACAGGATTGGCATATATTCGCAACGCTTTGTGGAATGGGAGGGTGATGACACTGATTTTATCCAGCTAGTATTGAAGCATTCAATGACAGGGTGTCACTAGGGTTATTTCATTACTGCCTTTTACCACATATAAACATTTCCGTGAACAAACTAGGATGTCGTGTGCCTAAATGGGTGAGTGAGTGAGTACTTTAGCAATATTCAAGCAATAAAAGGGCGGGGGACACTAGAAATGCGCTTCACACATTGTACCCATGTAGTGAATCGAACCCGGGTCTTCGGCGTGACGATCGTATGCTTTAACCACTAAGGTACACCACTTGCCCGTGCCGCAATGAAGAATCACGTTGACACAAGACTTTTCAGAATGGGTACGGCCAACTAATCTGATCACATACACTGAAAGGTGATGGTCATTAGGGTGTGTCGAAAGGACATGACTCTATCCGGTATCTGCATTTTAGTTTCCTTACCAGTGAGTGAGTGAGTTCGGGTTAACCCTGCTTTTAACAGTATTCCAGTTATATCGCGGCGTGTCAGCTTAATGTGGGAGGAAATACCGAAGTGATGCAGGTCTCAGACGTTTACCACTTCTGTGAAACTCACGAGCACGGGTATGGTGCTGACAAACCTAGAAACATAAACGGGGCGAACCGGGATTGGAACCCATAATCATAGGTTTCTGGCGTGCCAAAGGGACGCAACTCTGCACAGCGAATCGCGGCGCCTTAGACGACTGGGCCACCCATGCCCCCCCTAGCCAAAATTTGGCAAGTATTCTTTGTTCATTTGAATTATTTCAGTTTTTCATCATATTCAACAGTATTTTCTATCATGACCTTGAAATATGCTTGATTCATATATATTAAAAAGAAGTATTTCTTTTCCCACTGAAACCTCTATTAAATATTAACCTTTTTCACACACAAACGTGTCTATGAATACATCTACAGCCTTCTCATCGCTTCATTATAAATGTCTGTATTCGGGAGTTGCTACTGTGCAAGCATTACAAGAATAAACGCTGGGCCTCTAATACACGGCAGCCTCTATTAGCCGCGCGAAATTAATGCATGACCGGGCGTCTAATAGAGGAAATACGGTACATTTGAAATTGGGCGTTCTTGCCGACGACGTTGACGTCCGAGACCGTAACCCTTACATGGCGTTTATAAAATTCCTAGAGACAATCATGTTCGGTAATCATCCTTATTGAAACAAACTATAATGAATGTAAAATAAAACATCATGAAAAGTCTTTTAAAAAACTTCATTGCAACATTTTAAACATCATGAAACATCATGAAAAGTCTTTTAAAAAACTTCATTGCAACATTTTGTTTACCAACCCTTTTATGATCGATATTCATCGCCATCTACCACCAACGTTAGGATTCGCAAGTCCATCTAAAAACATTGCTTGCTTCAAAAGGCCACAGCAACTCACAAACAAATTTAAATGTCCCGACATCACTGCAGCGTCACAGCACAGACACTTGGTCACAACAGCTTATCAACAGATGAAATCCATTCAAAACACGCAGTATTAAGCAAAACATACACGAACCACTCGCTCGGTTCCAAATTAAAATAAGAGGAATCTACTCTACAGTGGGACTAAATCAAATTCCGAAACAAAACAGCTTATTCTCCAAACTGGTGTTCATCGAGTAGATTGAACAGAAATTAACCTGGATAAAGACAAACGCAGTGGGCGACTATTTAAAACCGGCATCAGTCCGGACTAGTACCAGCAGCCTCACACATAAACACACATGCATGCACGGCGCTATGTAAGTGGAATAATCTTGAACGCGACGTTAAACCATTTCACCTTGTCTCATCCTCCATTGAAGGTTCCAATCTGAGATTTAAACGAAAACAGCACGAGATTTTCGATTGGGCAACCAGAAAACAATTGCGTCTTGCGATTTCTGAAGGTGCTACAATTAGCACGAATCGGCCCTTTACCCAAGTCTGTTACTTAATGCTTATCAAATTTGCAAGTGTTTTACAACTGTAACTGTTTACTGTATCTATTTAAAACAAGTAGAGCAGTTTATCTCTCCCTTAACAATTTTAAACTTGCAGATAAGACATATGTAAACTGTGTATAGATGTTGGAAGAAAATTTCTGTCTACATTATAAAGGTCATTTATATTTCAGGGAAATAACGTTACGGTATTACTTCAAAAGGCTATCTCATTTTGTCACGCAATTACATTTCAGAAAAAAATGTCAGAGCACCTAAGATAATGCCAAATTACGTAAGTGACGAGTTCAAAATACATAAGTGACAAATATTCCAAAACAGTTGCCTTACAAACGGAGGTGCAAACGTGTTTGAGCTAGTAACACATAAGCTGTCTCATCTCGTCACCAACATGTTCAGGATCTGTCTTCTCCATTGCCTGTGTTTAGCTTCCGTAAGTTGAAATTGTCATATTTTTAAAATTCATCATTGCCAGTTTGAAAACTTTGGTATTACAAAACTACTTGTCTGCTCTGATTATGTTAGCCTTGGCGGGCAAGTACGTGGCCGGTCATGCTGCTCTAAGCCTTTACGAACAGTGCAGAGACTTGGCTTTAAGTGTGCTAGTATCTATTATCCACAGTGTCAGAAGGAGGTCCACACCATCCAGCCACCATTGCAAACACGATCTGATTACGTTATTTCGAAGATTCTCGTTGGTCCCTTTCAGTTGTCTCAAAGTCGCCATCAATTCCATCGCATTTATCTAAAAGTGTCTGTCTGGTTGCTTTCTATTTTCTGGAAGTCTCTATCTGGTACCTGTCATTTATCTCGAAGTGTCTATTGGGTTCATTTCACTTGTCTCGAACTCTGTACCTACCTGCTTCCTTTTCTAACGTCGAATGTGCCTGATGCCTTTCACTTGTACCGAAATTTGGTTCTGGTTCCTTTCAATCGGGGGCATGGGTGGCTCAGTCGTCTAAGGCGCCGCGTTCCGCTGTGCAGAGTTGCGTCCCTTGGGCACGCCAGAAACCTATGATTGTGGGTTCCAATCCCGGTTCGCCCCGATTATGTTTCTAGGTTTGTCAGCACCATACCCGTGTTCGTGGGTTTCACCGAAGTGGTAAACGTCTGAGACCTGCATCACTTCGGGCTTTCCTCCCACATTAAGCTGACACGCCGCGATATAACTGGAATACTGTAAAAAGCGGCGTTAAACCCAACTCACTCACTCACTCCTTTCAATCATTTCGAAATCGTTTCACTTGTTTCGAAATCTGTCTCGATCCCCGGCCGCGTCATACCTAAAGACGTTAAAAGATGGTACTTGTTGTTACCCTGTCTGGCGCTCGGCATTAAGGGACTAAAACAAGGACTGGTCGGCTCGGAGTCAGTATTCTGTGTCTGAGTGGGGTATTCATGTTAAGCCAAGCGGGAAGTTCGTTCACTCGTCACGCCCACAACTCGTGTTCGTTTCCCCAACACGACGGAAGCCATTTTTGAATTACTACATCGTGGAGTGACAAGATTATTGCTAACGGTGGTGTGAAATCCTACTTACTCCCTTGTAGACGTGTTCAGTGAAAATAGTGAGTGAGTAAATTGGGTTAATCGCCCCTTTAATTTCTTCATTTACATGTATGTCAATAAGTTCTTTTCCAAGAATATCACCAAATTACCGTCATAAGTGTTTTCCTTCGACTTTGTGCAAGGCAAAACGTAAATTCCATTACTACTACGTGGTATTTTAACAGCATTTTAACGTTCATAAATACACGTCTCTTCTCTTACATACGTAGTTATCAGTTCTTAACATTCTGAAATGGGATTTGTACTAGAGACAAACTATTCTCCTCACTGCATGGGCAATCCCCAGATAATCAAACGGTTGACCCCTTTTTGACTTTCGATAATGATGTTAAAATAAGATTGGTTTGTTTGTTGTTTTACGCCACAATCAGCACGACTGTCTGTAAATAATCGAGGATGGACCAGACAATCCAGTGATTGACATCATGAGCATCGATCCACGCAATTGGGATCGATGAATGCTTCAACCAAGTCAGCGAGCCTGACCACCCGATCCCGTTTGTCACCTCTTACGACAAGCATAGTCGACTTTATTGGCAAGCATTGGTTGCTGAAGACCTATTCTACGCCGGATCTTCACGGCCCTGTTAAGCAATTACGCCAACACAAGTCACGCGCCACGACAGTTCAATTTATATATTTCAATTTTTGTTTACTAAAAGCAAAGACGAGTCTAGTTCAAACGAAAGCAAACCTAGTTTCGTTGATTGAGGTTCTTTTGTAAAAAAAAGTACAATTATTTTAAAGTTGTTTTTTATAGACTTAATGTTAGTCTCCACCAACACGTGCAATGAACAATTACTCGAAGTTCGTGCAGTGAGGAGAGTATGCGGGTATTCAGTTCTCATCAGGTCACCACACATCCAGTGTTGTGTCTTCGAAATTGCAATCTGTGTCGTTTGTGCAGGCACTTGTAACATATATTGTAATATTTTCAGTGGTGTTGAATGTTGCAGGGCCAGTTCCTATTTGGTAACAAGGCGGATAGCTCCCACTATGGAGGATACACCTTCGAGTATCACAGTTACAGCGTGAGTTCTACACGATCTAACATATCAACCTTTTAGATAGAACATATAACCCGGGTCTGACAGTTGTTTGTTTGTTGTTTAACGACGCACTCAACAATATTCCATCTATATGTTGGCGGTCTATAAATAATCAAGTCTGGACCAGACAATCCAGTGATTGACACCATGAGAATCCGTCCACGCCATTGGGATCGATGACATGCATCAACCAAGTCAGCTAGCCTGGGCATCCGATCCCGTTAGTCGCCTCTTACGACAAACATAGACGCCTTTTACGGCAAGCATGGGTTGCTGAAGACCTATTCTACCCCGGATCGTCACGGTCATCTGACAGTTGACCCCTCGGAATGTGACTGAATGAAACAGTCCAATTTTCCCAGGGGTGATAGTTACACTATATACCCGATCAAATGGACTGTTTGACTGGTACGCGAGTTATTATAACTTTCAAAAAGCGAATATGATACAGGTACAGTATGGCGATCTGGAATATCTATTTGCCATTGAAGAAGTGACAGGTAGCTCGACGTTTACGCTGGCGACACACACTGACATGTGGTGCATACTGGAGATGGAGGAATCTTGAGAGTTTGTTGACTCTACTTCCGGAATCAACAAGTTCGAGTGATTTTTCCGACTTAACCCATGTTTATCCTGATATAAGATTTAAAATGTTGCCTAATGACTTAGTAATTTGATGTCTGATGCAATGTTTTCATTACAAAAGGGGGCCCGGGTGGCCCAGTCGTCTAAGGCGACGCGATTGCTGTGCAGAGTTGTGTCCCATGGGCATACCAGAAACCTATGATTGTGGGTTCGAATCCCGCTTCTCCCCAATTATGTTTCTAGGTTTGTCATCACCATACCCGTGCGTGTCAGCTTAATGTGGGAGGAAAGCCCGAAGTGATGCAGGCCTCAGACGTTTACCACTTCGGTGAAACCCACAAGCACGGGTATGGTGCTGACAAACCTAGAAACCTAATCGGGTCGATCCGGGATTCGAACCCACAATCATAGGGTTCTGGCGTGGCCAAGGGACGCAACTCTGCACAGCGAATGGAGGCGCCTTGGACGACTGGGCCACCCGTGTCCCCTCGCCACACACGATCACATTCAGGTGCAATAGTGTCGCGAGTCCATTAAATGTCACGAGACCGTGTATGACTCAGTGAAGACCTGCCATATCGTGGCATTCACACAATTTGAATACAAGGGTGTGTTCGTTATCTGATGACACACTACAGCACTCCTGCTATGTGAGGGCGGCAGGAAACAGAGCAGAAATTCATTCACACGATAGCGGATATACTGATGAAACTGGTGGAACTAAAAACAATGTATAAATTTTGAATTACTTCTGGTGTATACAAATGCAGGGACTATGCTGCTTATAAGTAAAGAAAAGACAAATAAGCTACCAATTCTTATGGGACGAACAGTTGTGACATACAAGCTTGTATATGCTTTACACATGCTTTTTAAAGGTTGAAATATGCATTTTAGACAAACTTGTTGAGGGAACGGTTTTAAAATATACAGACCGCCTCCGTGGTCTAGTGGTTGAACAGCGAAATGCCCATGGCTTGATTCCCGGCCGCGTCATAACAAAAGACGTTAAAAGATGGTACTTGTTGTTACCCTGCCTGAAAAGGACCGCTCGGCTCGGAGTTAGCATACTGAGTGGTATAATGGTATATACACCAAGAGAAGATAATTTACGCCTGAAATGTTGTTTTGGCATTAACTGAAGAAACCATTATATTATTGATTATTATCACGTTTGTCTGTTTAATTGATGTGCCAGGCATAAACTATGAAACAAAATTTAATGGTGACGTGATGACTGTGGGTTTAATCAAATCCTTACACTTTTACACATCTAAAGAAGCAAGACGTATTAGGTGGCAGTGTTACAAAGATAGCATTCAGTATTATGCAGCTAAACATTGTCACTTGAAAACAGGAAGAATGTTTACTCTCAGTGTGTTATGTCCTTCTTTCAGGATCTCCTTGTCGTGAAGGATCTTGGAAGCTGTTACTTCATGACAACAAACGATACTCTCTCGAAGATCATCACTGACAAGCAGCGCAGAGTCGCACTTCAGGTTCATATACACAGTTGTATAGTGTAGCTGTACATACGTGGTACATACCGTCAAAAACATATTAAGAAATACGATGTGTTTAAGGGGATGGTACATGTACATGTGTATACACATGTTTTCTATTGTAATCTGATTTTGTCGTCTTAGGCGCCACAGACGCTATGCAGAGTTGCGTCTCTATGGCAGCGGGTTTGAAACCAGATTCGCTCTGGTTATGTTTAGGGCTTGTCAGAACCATACTCGTTGTCATTGGTTTTAAAGTGGTAAACTGATACGACCTGCATCACTTCGGGCCTTCCTCTCTCACGAAGCTGATCGATATGTAATGATGAAACTACAATAATGTGATGTAACGCTAAACCAAACCACTCACTCACTCTGATATGCGCACTACCTTCCAAAACCGCTAAAGAAGGCATTTGGCAGTCCCAGGAGGCCATCTTTGTCTGCTAATTCAAATATTTTTTCGATGCATTTTAAAAGGACGTTTAAGCAGTTAATAATTACCCTAGTATCACGGAGACATTTCCCTAGTGCATGCTGTACAAATACAACGTCCAGCTTCCTTTTATGAAGAGGTAGCATATGTTAACCACCTATATAGGTAACCTTGCAATTGTTTGTTAAAACTTTGTATTTGTTTTATATGACTTCCAGTTGGACAAGGTAGCCCAGGGCCCCGTTCCACAAAGCCATCTTAGCGCTAAGGTGATCGTTATTCCCATACTTTAACACTGGCTTACGACAATCATAGCGCTAAAATCGCTTTGTGGGACAGTGCCAAGGTGTTTACGATGTCACAATTCGCTGTGCAGAGTTGCGTCCCTTTTTGCAAGCCAAGATCCTATGATCGCGGGTTCGAAACTAAGATTGTCGTTGATTATGATCTTTGGTTCTCACTCACTTATTTTCAGATCGAGCTTGTCGGGTTCATCCGTAGTGACGTACACGTGACACGGACTAGTTTCGTCCAGGCAGACATCGCACACCGTGACGTCAGTGCTACCGCAGTCTGCGTTGGCAAGGATTTGTACGAAATGAAATACCCAGCAGATGGTGCTGCCTACAAACAGGGAAGGACAACTGCTTAAACTACAACTAAATCTCAGTTCACAACAACAACGAATGATTGAACAAAACCTAATGTTCATGTGTTTGGGTAATTAAAGACAGATTCACCTTGTTTACAGTGCGTTGTTAATTCCGTCAACGAATGAGAGAATGAGAATTCTACTATGCCTTTTTGGAATTCTACAGTCTGACTGGTCCGCAATAAGTATCGAGTCTACGTTAAACCGCAGTTTTGCTGATTACCGCATTACCGCTAAAGAAAATATTTATTTTTATTATTTTATTCATGCTTCTTTCACAAACACCAATTTCAATTAGTGATCTTACTTCATTAATGTTACGAAATAACGTTTGGCTTTTCCTGCATTATTAACAGCAAGTGTGTCAATATATTTTAAACGTCAAACTTGACCAGTGTCAAGCAACATCAACAAATTTTGTATTTTGCCACAACAGGTACATCGACGTCATATCTACCACAACGTCATCTTGAAATGGAGATTGCCGCGACGATAAAGTCATCAATGTATTTATCGAAATGACTAAAGGCTCTTCCGATGCTCATTTTACACAAAAGCGACAAAAATAATTCCATAACTACTGACAGCAGAGTCCATTGTACGATTCCTACTATATCGTGAGCATGTGTTTATGAAAAAGTATCAACAATGATGATACTTTGTTTTCTCGAAAAGGGGAGCGTAGCCTGCCTCACCGGTAGCACCTGTACCAAGTCATACAAAAACAAGTCAATTGTTTTCCTGACAAATAAACACGTGAATGCATGTTTCAAGTAAAAATTGGGAATTGCATCGGAATTCGGTTTTGTCACTAATGCAACAAATTTCGAAGGAAGAGCATGCTCGATTTTCTCTCAAAGTCGGTGAAATGGAGACATCAGTCCTGCAGATGCTGGAATATTGCCCAACATAAAGGGAAAGTTGTCTACTGGAAAGTTAGAGCCACCCCTCTTGTCATACAGTCTTGTGGAGGGTTTTGTCACCCCTAATCTTTATGGTGAGGTGAGGTGAGGTGAAATGGGGTTTAACGTCGCGTCCAAGATTATTGCACTTATATAGCGACGTACATGGACGTGTGTGTGTTTGTGTGGCTGCTTGTACTAGTCCGGACTGATGCCGATTTATAGTGCTAGCTCACTGAGATACCATGCCGCAGTTTAACATGAATACCCCACTCAGACACAGTATACTGACTCCGAGCCGACCAGTCCTTGTTTTAGGCCCTTAATGCCGAGCGTCAGACAGGGTAACAACAAGTACCATCTTTTAACGTCTTTTGGTATCGAACCCCGGACCTTCTGCTGTCCGGGCGGACGCTCTACCACTAGACCACGGAGGCGGTCCCTAATCTTTATGCATGCATGCGATTTTATCCAGCTGTGAGGAATTCCAGGATTTTACATACTGTTCCCCCAGTGAACGTCAGACTGCAAAAACTCAATCAAATCCAGTGTGTTTTTTGAGAATCCATTTGGTTTTATTTCCAATTGCCTCAAATACGTTCTGTGATCTCAAAGAATGCCCTTTCTCGATTTTATTAAGGACAAGTAATCCAATTCGATGGGGAAGCAAAATGTTGTGGAAATTAATTAGAAAAAAACCACAATGGTTCCAATCCCCTCTTGTCCCAATTATAAATTGTATGTAGATTAAGTAAGTGTCATCCTGAAATACCATGTAAACAATGTTTATGTATACTGTATTCACGAAAAACATATTTTTATCAAAATGCAAGTTTGTTTAATTTGTAAATTCATTCCGGAGCCATGATCACGTGGGGTGTCGAAGGTTACCACCATTCACAAGACAACCGTCGTTTCTGGAACTATTCGTCTTTTTATATGAGTGATGAAACTGAGAAATTGCCAGTCCATAACAAGTAAGATGCCATTAACAAGTAAGAAGCGTTGACATACTCCCCACTGAAAATAATCCTGCGACCTGAGTGGCTATAGACAATATATATACGACTGGAAGTTTTCTTCACTACATCATCGCCTTACTCAACTGTCTCCATATTGTTTCACCTCGCGGTATGTCAAGGCCAAGGTCGTCTATGGCGAAGGAGCAGAGTGAAGGGTCGATTGAGATGAATAAGTCTACGTGAAATCATAATGCCATAGATTTATGTATCGCGAAACGAATAACGATGGGCGGGCTGATCGCATTAATTCGGCGTGTATTGGCGCATTGTGCTTGTGTACACGATCGGATAAACAAGAAATTCGGTAAGTTTGCGGCCTAAATATTTTGAGCAGGGATTTTGGGTCGGAATAAACAAAATCACGATTTTATAAGTTTCTGAAGACGCTAGCCCCAAAAGTACGTGTTCGATTTTCATTTAGATAAGAGTATAGTTTTGTAGGGGTATTTGCTGTAAACGTTGTTGCATTCCTACTCGATCGGAATCGAGGAGTTGACCCCGTTACACCCCTTTCCTTTTACATAGTACTGCCACAGGCTGCAAAGTAGACACAATGGATAACAAGTGTAACAGCGGGCCGGCTCCGTTGGTCTAGTGGTATAGCGTCTGCCCGGAGAGCGGAAGGTCGGGGTTCGATCCGCGGCGACGACATACCAAAAGACGTTAAACGATGGTTCTAGTTGTTACCCTGCCTGTCGCTCGCCATGAAGGGGCTAAAACAAGGAGTTTGCTGTGTCTGAGTGGTGTATTCATGTTATACTGGTATGGTACGGCACAGTATCTCAGTGGGCCAGCACTATAAAATCAAGTGCAAACAGCCACACACACATACACACACACCACACACACATACATGTGCATGCACGTCGCTATATCAGTGCAATAATCTTGGATGCGACGTTAATCCCCATTTCACGTCATCTCACCAACTGTAATTGCGACATTTTGGTATAGACCCGCATACCCTTTAAGCATCATCATCCCACCTACGCACACGTAATCCTGCTAAATTGAATTCTTCATCACGTGTTCTCTGTCCTTCATGTTGTTACAATATTTACCTTCTGTTGTCTATATTATATGTGAAAATGTAATACATTGCTCTTGTACCAGTAGCTATGGATTATAGACAAATAAAAAGTGCTGAAAGTTCTTCCTATCTTACTCATGTTAATCTCATGAAAACAAGCTATTAATCCTCTACCTTCCACATATCTTCAGTACCATGTTCATTTTTCATCTTGCTTGACAACGATATAAGTATATATACTGGAATGTCGCTGTTACAGTAAAAAAAGAAATTGTTATCAATAAATATAAATAGTGTCAACTTTGTCATCCGTCAGTTTCTAAGAACAGGTATGGGTTTATGATCTTCTGAAGACGCTTGCTCATAAATATTTCCAATAGATAATAATAATAACAACAACAACAACAATAACAATAGCAATAATAATAATAAGAGGGCGTCATGGAAAATGATAAATACAAAATTCTTTAGAATAGGCCCATTTACAGTCTTAGACGTATCCAGGTCAACAAACCTGATCTTGTCCTTTTTGATAAATCCAATGAAATCATTTATATCATTGAATTTTCTGTCCGTTTTGACACTGATGTGATTGAGGAAAATTAATGCATGGCAAATATGCGGACATCGCTTTCGAAATGTCACGCTTGCATCCCAAGTACCAAGTTGTCCGACTCCCCATTGTTCTCGGTGACTTAGGTTTGGTACCTCCCAATCTGTTGACTGACATTGGGAGAGTACCCGGGTTTGCTACCAGGAATACAGCCCTTCTGACAATCTGGGTAATGCAGAAGGCTGCAGTGTTGGGGAGTCTTCACATTCTCCGAATAGTTCTGTGTGGGTTTGACTAGGCATCGCTTCCTGGGAGAAGTCCCATTCGCTGTCTGGGCTGCGTGTAGAGGGGGCAAGGGCCCTGAGCTGATGATGAGCCTAACCAGCCTGACTGCGCCAGGATCACCAAAACCCTCTTTGCTGAATCTTTTTATCTTAATCTGACAATAATAATAATAATAATAATAATAATAAAAATAAAAATAATAATTATAAAAATAATAATAATAATAATAATAATAATTAAAAAAGTTAAAAATTAATAATAACAATGATATAATAATAAATAAAAAAATCACATATCTTGTAGCTGCTATTATTTGCGTAAGAAACCCCTGTGGTGACAAGTAACAAAGAAAAAGGTCACCCAGATAATGGTTAAGTGTGAAAAATTCAGCTGTGATATGCTTTATTACCAACATACAAGTAGGTGTAGCACTGTTGTTGACAAGAAAGTTTCTGGAACCTTGGCATATGTTGGTTCTCATACCGACAACTATTTCCGTTTATCAGCGATCAAAGAGTTCACACACTCAGGTCGTCAGGACAGCTTAAATCCAAACAACAGATTTCTCAATGTTGCTACCGATTCTTCTCTCCAGTGTGTCTCTGGCGCTTGTAAGTTTGAATATCATAATTATTGTTATTATGGTTATATTATAAAATTGTTGTTGTGGGTTTAAATAGGTTCGTTGAGATTGATAGCACAAACGTCGTTCGCTGTAGCAAGACACTCATCTGTAAATTTGTATATCAAGCAAATATTACTTCGTTTCTTTACAGTTGTTATCCGGCCCGAGAAAATCTGGAGTAGAATAGGTCTTAAGCAACCCATGCTTGTTGTAAAGGCGACTATGCTTGTCGTAAGAGGCGACTAACGGGATCGGGTGGTCAGGCTCGCTGAATTGGTTGATGCATGTCATCGATCCCAATGCTCATGTTGTCAATCACTGGATTTTCCGGTCCAGACTTACAGACCGCCGTCATATAGCTGGAATATTGCTGATTGCGGCGTTAAACAACAAACAAACAGTTGTTATCCATGTTATGTGAGAGGCTTGATATGCGTTAAGGGAGTTCGTATTAACGCAATAGTGTTGATATACTTACCAAACATTGTACATTCACCTGATGAAGGAGTAAGTATATACTCCGAAACGTTGTGTTCCTCATCATAAAGAAGTTGATATCATAATTTCTCTTCCTTATGTGTATCACTTCTAAATGCCTTTGAAAGAATAAAATTGGATGTTTTTGACGTTAACGTGTATATTTTCCTTCCAAACACATCGTCAATACTTCAAGGGTTTGTTAATGGTTATGTTTTATGGTTTTGTCGCTTTTTTTACATACACCAGATGATGGTGGGGCGTAGTGTGTACAAAACCTGTGAAGTATGAACGGTGTCTACAACAGGGTATTGCTCATATGTTCCTTTGAGTGTTGTATAAGTATTTCATATTTCTGGCAGGGTCAGTTCCTGTTTGCTTCCAATGCTCAAATTTCCTATCGGAGAGGGTTCCAGTTTGAGTACCACCCTAACACGGTAAGTGATGAGATAAACATAATGTATTTTCAGGTTTGTTGTTGAGTATTTGATACCTTAAAATATCATTCAGAACCGGCAGCGTTACCACGTAGGATCGGGAATATTTCAACAGTCTTGTGACGAGGCGCTGTCTTGAGGAAACCTTTGAAACACTCGATTATTTACAGACCGCCGCCATGCATCTTCCCGAGGCAAGAGAGTTTACTGACTTTAAAAGTCGAGTTTCCACCCTTGCCGAACTAAGCTGGAATTACTGGGCTCGACCGTAGCGCCACCAGTGGCTATTACCAGTTATGTCCCTTCTAAGCCTCTCCTATGGACCAATCAGATTCCACCTCTCGTATCACTTGCCTTTGCTTCACAAAGAATGGTGCCGCCCAGTCAAAACGATCTGATCGATTATCAAGATCTATATTGTGATAAAACGGGTCTTACATCGCGAAATGCATCAAATCGCGTGAGCACCTTGATTAGAAACATGAAAAGATTTGGAAAATATATGCCGACAAGGAATTGGCGGGGCACATGCTTTGCAAATCCTGCAATCGGTTGAAATCTGCACGACAGTCTACGAACCGGATTTCGATTTCGGTGAGCGAGTTTGATTGGACTTTGCATAGACTCGTTAGTCCAGCCAAAATGTAACTCCATAATACCAGCCTTGTTCGGCAAGGGTGGAAACTGGACTTTTATAGTCAGTTAACTCTCTTGCCTCGGGAAGATGCCGCCATATTGCTGGGGTATTGCCAATCAATTATCAATTATTTACTTTATGACATTCGGGATAAAGAATGGATAGAAAAAAAGTATTTCGTCTATCGATACCATCGATATACACATGTAATAACGAAGCATTATTGTTAAAAATGTCAAGCCTTTATCAATATATTGCTACCGGCAATGGCGATGTATGATAAGTTCGATTAATCGGTACACCCCAACACTGTTGCAGAAGAGTAAAATATGAATGTCAGTAAAGATTGATCTGCAAAGATTTGATCGAACGTACATGTATACCGACATCTGACCTGATTTTTTTTATTTCATAATTCAAGCATATGAACAAAACAGTCCTGTGTATACTAATGTAGACAATGATATGGAAGTCTCTATAATTTTCTTAATTGCTCAAGATGGAAAATCCTCAAGTTTTGTGACTTTACATTTAATTTTTTTTATTTGTATCAAAGTGCAAATATTAGATAAATTTTTCTTGGAGATAGATACTTATGCATGATCATGTATATGCACCTTTCTTAATAGGACAAGGGCGAAATTTGGCCCACTGAACATGTCACATAATATAATTCCGGAAACTTTGATATTTGTGTATATAATGATCAGATATGGATGACCTAGTCTTTTCTTTTTCTGACATTTGCAAGTTTCTAACTTCTTAACAATTGAATAAGAATGCCTTAAATGAGTGGAAAAGACGTATTTCCCAAATTCAAGAGAAAATCTATCTACGAGCATGATCGTGACACATGTTACAGATGGTCGGTCCCAAACTGATGTCAAACTTTCCGAAGGCATTATTGAAAGGAAATCGTACTTATCATACTATCACAGTACTGTTACAGTGTTGTTATTGACCTTGCAACACTACAACAAAAGTAATTTAGCCATTGCCATATTAAAATAATTGGAAAATAGCGCCCCTATTATTAATTTCCACCTTTTGTTTATTTGATTTCTGGGTGTGGCATAGACCCAGGCGTGACAAGTAATACATTTATTTAATAGTTATGTGAGCATTCATGTCTGTTTCAGCATCTCCTGACTGTGAAGAATACATATAGTTGTTATTTTGTTGGAACGGACGATAGCCTGAGGACCAGGATCCAGGATAAACACAGCAGAGAAACACTACAGGTAAGCTTGACTTGTATTATAACGAGCGCTTCTATGCAGAGCTACGTCCCTTGGTTGTGGTAGAATTCGATGGTCGATGACCCTATTCGTGAGCAATTGGATTGTCAGCACCGTAACCAGGCGCGTGGCAGCAAGATAGGGTAATGGTCTTTTTTGTCCCCTTGGATATTCTTCCGGGGTAGAATAGCTCTTCAGCAACCCATGCTTGCCGTAAAAGGCGACTATGCTTGTCGTAAGAGGCGACTAACGGGATCGGGTGGTCAGGCTCTCTGACTTGGTTGATGCATGTCATCGATCCCAATTGCGTTGATCGATGCTTATGATATTTATCACTGGATTGTCTGGTCCAGACTCGATTATTTACAGAGCGCCGTCATATAGCTGGAATATTGCTGAGTGCGGCTTTAAACAACAAACCAACAAACAACCTAGGATATTCACGATTGCAGAAATGAAATCCTTTACAAATCGTTATGAAAGATAGTAAATGTGTTCATTGAATGATAATGGGACATTATTCGTTTAAACAGTTGCAGTCAACGGAAGTGCCAACAATTTTATGTTGTAGTTTGGAAAATCAGTCCTTTTCATTCTGTTAGCTGTATTTGTGTATTTGATCATGTCAGAAGACCAAACCATACAAGTGTATGAAAAACAAGCCATCTGTTGAACTGTCTGATAATGTACATACAAAAAGTCAAAGATTTCCTTAAGCTTAAACATTTGACGTTTACTGGGGGCCAAAACGGACCGTTATCAAACCCTGTCCTTCCCAGGCGTTTTAGAACTACTCAACTTAAGATACTGTTCAAGGCAGCGTTAATTAAACCAAACTCATTATTGCAAATTGTAGTTTGTGTATCACTGGCAGTTTGGTATGTCAGCGTTACCTTCAGTAAGCGTTTACTTTGTATGAGCGGAGACCAGGATGAGCAAGTGTTATAAGGCACAAGTCTAGATCTGTCGCGTTCCTATCTGAAAGGGGCGGTCGGGTAGCATATTGGTTAAAGCGTTCGCTCGTCACGCCGAAGACCCGGGTTCGATTCCCGACACGGGTACAATGTGTGGAGCCCATTTCTGGTGTCTCCTGCCGTGATATTGCTGAAATATTGGTAAATGCGGCATAAATCCATACTCACTCACTCCCTTGGCTGAAAGGATCCTCTGGTTATGGTCTTGAATCCAGATTCGCTCTGACTGAGATGCGTGGCCTGTCAAAACCATCCTGTGTTCCACCAACTTCGAGGTCACATCTAAAATTCAAGCTGACACGCCGTGATATCCATTCTTATTCACTCATTAACTAACCACATCTTCGTCGTATAGTGAGTGAGTGAGTATGGTTTTACGCTTTTAGCAATATTCCAGTAATTTAACGACGGGGCACACCAGAAAGGGCTTCACACATTGTACCCATGTCGGGAATCGAACCCGGGTCGTCGGCGTGACGAGCGACCCCTTTAGCCACTAGGCTACCCGACCGCCCCTTGGTCGTATAGAAATATTGACACGTAGTGCCTTGGAGACAGGCGCCCTGTCTGCACCGGTAGAATGGCCACTACGGTGAAACCCAATTTGTAAACAAATCCAACGGAAAGTCACAATTTGGGACTTCCAGTCCCAGGAACATTGCATAATCCGGACGCTTAAGGGCGGTAGTTTCATTTTTTGACTTGTGATGAAGGTAATCTATCCGTATATTGTACCCCTATAGGGGTAGGAGTTGATATTCAGCAACCCATGCGTGTCGACAGAGGCCACCAACGGGATCGGGTTGTCAGGTTTGGTGACTTGTTTCATGCATGTCATCGTATCCCAGTTACGTAGCTCGATGCTCATGATGTCAATCATATGATTGTCTAGTTCAGACTCTATTATTTACAGACCGCCTCATAGATTTGGAATATTGCTAAGTAAGGCGATAAACAGCAAACAAACAAACACACAATCAAAGCTTTCATTGATTTGATTCGTGATCTTACTTTTTTCAGGACGAATTAATTGGATTCATTCACAATAACAAACACATAGCAAGGACAAGCCTTGTACAAGCTGACATCGCCCACAACGACGCAGCAGCGACATCCGGCTGTGTTGGGAACAGCTTGTATGAACTGAAATATCCGTCAGAGGGCACCACCACCACTCAGGGGCAGACAACTACGAAACGCACTACTCAGGGAAAGACATCTTTTCCGACAACACAGAGATCAACGACACATGCCGTAACCATGGCACGACGTCAACGGAAAGTTGTTGTATTATAAATATTTAAGAGAGGATGTCCACGATGAATCGTTGTCGTTGTTTTTGTAGAAAATAATGAATCGAATATTAAATTTCTTTGAACACGTCGTGATCTTGATGTGTTATGTAGCTATGTCAATATTATGTTAGGAAGTAAAAACAAAGCTTCATGTAAGGAGCTGAGACTTATTATGAGTCCCGAACACGTTCAAAATTGAATTGAAACCTGTAAAAAAGTAACGACAAACCATAATCAAAGTTATGCGTGTTTGACATATGCGTTTAAAATGCCACACTGAATATCCTCAATATCACCTAAATTAAGGGTCCAAAGAGCCTTGTGAGGTGAGGTGAGGTGAGGTGAAATTGGGTTTAACGTCGCGTCATAGATTATTGCACTTATATAGCGACGTGCATGTACGTGTGTGTGTTTGTGTGGCTGCGTGTATTAGTCCGGACTGATGCCGATTTAAAGTGCTAGCCCACTGAGATACCATGCCGCAGTTTAACATAATTACCCCACTCAGACACAGTATACTGACTATGAGCCGACCAGTCCTTGTTTTAGCCCCTTAATGCCGAGCGCCAGACAGGGTAACATCAAGTACCATCTTTTAACGTCTTTTGGTATGACGAACCCGGACCTTCCGCTCTCCGGGCGGACGCTCTACCACTAGACCACGGAGGCGGTCTCCAAAGTGCCTTACAAATGTGGAAACCTCAGACGGCGTATAAAAAATAAGGTGAAATATTGGTGAAAATTGGCCATATAGAAGCGTGCTACAACACGAAGAAGGTCGGACGTGGGAGATCAATCAATTCTTTCAATTTAATTGACGCCCATGGGCTTAAAACGGTTTTTTTCCGTTTTGAAGCCCTGGTCTAAATAACGACGGGGCTTATATCCGGTAGTTTCAACATAACGTCAACATGACATCATTGTATATTACGTCAACACTGATGTGCAAGAGCGCGTGAAGTATGATAATACGTTTGTTCCGTATCGGCTTTGATGATTCGTTTAACTCAAAACCTGAAAGATAATATAATCATATTGCATCTACTTCTGATAGATTCAATGATGTCTGCTGGTCTGAACTGTCGTATATAGGTAGTCCCTCCACAACATATTGGAAGTAAGTATATCGCCACTATGGATTGATACAGTCAAACTGCCAACGATATAGCCTTATATGTATTAAGCCAAAAACGTCAATAGTTCCAGTGACAAGTCATACGTTATAGTGTATAAAGGAAACGCGTGAATGCGAACATATTCATCAGTTTGCACAGAGTCATCAGGATATCTAGATGTTTGACCCATGAAGATCAGGGGTAGAATAGGTCTTCAGCAACCCATGCATATGCTTGCCGTAAAAGGCGACTATGCTTGTCGTAAGAGGCGACTAACGGGATCGGGTTGTCAGGCTCGCTGACTTGGTTGATGCATGTCACTGTATCCCAATTGCATAGATCGATGCTCATGATGTCAATCACTATCGTCGTGTCAAGACTCGATTATTTACTGACCGCCGTCATATAGTTGGACTATTGCTGATTGCGGCGTTAACAACAAACAAACAAACAAATCTAGAAAAAAATATTATCATGACTAAAGTCATTTAGCTGACGATAGGGCCATGTACCAATTTACCACATAAGTAATGACCGTCCAACGTCAAAAATGGCTCAAACATCACTTTAGGACGTGTGCAATCAATAATAACACATTCGCAAAAAATATGGATAAAATTTAATTTAATTTTATTGCTTTTAAGAGTGTGTTAAGTCAATGAGTGATGTCATTAGAAGAATTCACAAACTGACAAAGAAAAAACAGAACTGGAACAAACCCAGTCTGTCCCAGCCGTCTGTCATCCATAGTTTCGCTGCCCAACATGTAACATTTGTCGTTGTTCCCACTGACATGGCCTCAAATAACACAGCCAGTGCATGTAAGATTCACTACATTAATTGTTTAATCAAAGAACTCGGTATAAGTGACATATCAAACAACACAACCAGTGCATGTAAGATTCACTACATTAATTGTTTAATCAAAGAACTCGGTATAAGTGACATATCAAATAACACAACCAGTGCATGTAAGATTCACTACATTAATTGTTTAATCAAAGAACTCGGTATAAGTGACATATCAAACAACACAACCAGTGCATGTAAGATTCACTACATTAATTGTTTAATCAAAGAACTCGGTATAAGTGACATATCAAATAACACAACCAGTGCATGTAAGATTCACTACATTAATTGTTTAATCAAACAACTCGGTATAAGTGACATATCAAATAACACAACACATGTAAGGACAGTATGTTAACCGAGGAAGAAATCTTCCCAAACCATGCACCAGTACTATCAACTTTTGACTTGACTCTAAAAGCTGCAGACATGCCTATTCCTCATTTGCACTGGATTCCGAAGCTCCATATATAAAACCCCTTACAAAGAGAGATATGTTAATATTGGTTGGAACAGCACATGTACCACCAAATCCCTGTCTTAACGATCAACCATAATCCTTAATACAAGCAAGGAAGAACTTTCTTTATGTTCACAGAAAGTATTTTAGACACGTGGAATTAGTACCATGTGGAGTCTAAAAACATCAGGATTTGCTTGACTTTTTGCAATCTCAGAAAAGAACCAGGTTCAATTCTGTCAAAGCATGTGTTTTTTTAACTTTGTACACAACTGTCCCACGTGGCAAACTTAAGGAAAAACTTCATTCCTTGATCCATGGGACATTTGCTACAAAATTATAGAGATATTGTTACACATATTCAGGTCAATGTGAAACATTTTGGCAAGAAGGAGGCATCTCCATGGACACCAGATGCGCTCCGCTTAAGCATATGAATCAGAACTTCTGCTCATATGGGTAAAGTCAACACAAGGTAAGAAGTCTAACTTAAACTTCAATTCTTAAATCAAGCAGATCTTGTGGGCCAAAATGACCACCTCGTCCTTTGTTTTAATTTCTTCAAAGCCTACATTTGCATTAGGCATGACATACAGGCAATGTTTCTGTTCGAGAAAAGTCACTAATGATAATTACATCGTCTCGACCCCAGATCGTGGAATGTGCACATCGTCCCCCTTAACTAAACACAGCCATGTCGCTATTGCATCTACATCAGGTAGACATGGTTCCATCTGTACAAGCAAACCTTCCTTTCCTGAATGTAAAGTTGTTTGGCGTGGTTAGTATTAATCCGTCTGGGATTTGGCTGCCTTTGGTTTCTTCTCCACGCAGGTATTGAGGAACGCTATGGTTGCGTTGCGTCCTTGCTGCAAATACAGGTATAAGTCTTTACTGTTATACAGCCAGTCGTGCACATTCTGTCACAACAAAACTTTATACCTGCCTTTCTATGAAGATTTCAAAGAGCGTCATACGATTCGTGTCAATATCTTGTTTGATCAGGGGCGGTCGGGTAGCCTAGTGGTTAAAGCGTTCGCTCGTCACGCCGAAGACCCGAGTCGATTGCCGACATGGGTACAATGTGTGAAGCCCATTTCAGGTGTCCCCGGCCGTGATATTGCTGGAATATTGCTAAAAGTGGCGTAAAACCATACTCACTCACTCACTGTTTGATCAAAGTCATAACATTCAAGGCCTCGGCAAAGCTTTCAACAAGTTTTATATTAGACATGTGGAGGACATTGGCAAATTTGACGCATCTGTCCAAAATGATGTCCGATGCAGTTCCCTATTTTGACTTGTGCCATTGCTCCCTGTGTGTTCTTTGAGGTGAGCAATTGACCTGTCTTTGCATGTGTTTGCGATGGGTGCCATCTGCACGGCAGGATACGGTTACCTTTTCGAACACCTGGTGTCATTGATATTGATTCAGAAACACATGCTCTTGATGAAGTCTCAATCATACAATCGACTCACCGATGCACTGAGACATTAATTGAACCATACGGACACGATACGTTTCCAAATGCTACCGATACATTTCAATTGATCTTTTTCATTTATATTTCAGTAATATCACAGCTGAAGACACCAGAAATAGGCTTGACCTTTTTGTTCGCATGCTTGGTGTTATTCGGGCATCCGTTACCCTACCACCTCTAGACGCATGCATTGCATGTATTTCGTTTCAGAATGTATTTAACAATTATTAAATTGTCGTAAAATCCCTTTTAACTTTATAGATTGTTTTAGCAAAATGAAATAAAATCCGCTAATTGATACTATAATAAACTAAACTTAATTTGCAACAGCCTCATAAACTATGATTTTAACTCTTGTGTTGGCTGATGATGTTTTTTGAAAAACTATTTAAATATAACTGCAGTAGGGGAAGATTCAAGTTCTTGATTATATAAAAAGTCCTCGTATGTACCGTGATGAGGAAGTCGATGTCTTCTTCTTCCAAGTCATCCATGGTGGTGATGTAGTCACAGTCGATGCCGATAGAACGCTCAAGGTCACGCCGCTGTTAAACGGACACATTGGATTATAAGATTGTACGTAATTGTATAACTTTAAGTATTTTCATTAAACTCTATTTTTACAAAATTATAACATCTTAAAGACGCCTTCTTACCTTGATAACCACCTCTTTATGACGTGCTGTGATGGAGTCTATTATTGCAATCATATACGTGGTCAGGCTGTCTATCACGTGCGACGGGCGACTGTGGGCGCCGTGGTGGATTGGGACTCCTCTCTTGGCAAAATAGGACACCAGGGCGTGTACAGACACCTTGAGCAGTTGAAACGAAAGACTGTGCAACAGTTGTTTTTATGACCATCGATTATCAAGGGTACTATATTTCCATTCAATTATAATATATAGCATGGACATGTTCCTAACCATGGGGTATATTTTACCTCAGAGGTACACCACACCCCCACCACCACCAAAAGGAAAAGAAAAGTAAATATATATATATATAATTAAATATTATTTCGTTTGTTCGACATCATGGATGTCCTTTCTGAGGAATCAAATAATCGTTTCTCATAATCAAATAATTGTTAGTATCATCACTATTTGGTTGTGAGTCATAAACACGTGCTTATGATATGGCCGGAATAATTTTGATGCCTTTATTCATTATATTTTTGCTTTCTCGGGGATATAAACAAAAATACGCAGTGTATTATTTACAAAAATGTACGGTACGCACATAGGCTTCGACGTTTATACTTCAATAAACGCAAAACATATTGAGGTTAGGTGAAATTGGGTTTAACGTCGCGTACAAGATTATTGCACTTATATAGCGACGTGCATGCATGCGCGCGTGCGAGCGTGCGTGCGTGTGTGGATGCTTCTACTTGTCCAGACTAATGCCGATTTTATAGTGCTAACCCACAGAGATACCATGCCGCAGTTTAACATGAATACCCCACTCAGACACAGTATACTGACTCCCCGGACCTTCCGCTGCTCGGGTAGAATCTCAACCACGAGACCACGGAGACGGTCTCCAAAGAGCCTTGTAAATTTGGTAACCTCAGACGGCGCATAAAGTGCAATATTGGTGAAAATTGGCCATATAGAAGCGTGCTACAACACGAAGAAGATTGGGCATTGGCGATCAGTCAATTCTTTCAATTTAATTGACGCCCATGGGCTTAAAACGTTTTATTTTTCCGTTTTGAAGCCCTGGTCTAAATAACGACGGGGCTTAAATCCGGTAGTTTCAACATAACGTCAATTCCTAAGTTTAAAGACATAAAGACATATTCTACATGTATCGTCGTCCTAGACGTGATTGTAACATATCTTGTAATGTCGTTTGTAACTGATATACATAAGTATTATATGACAATGCTGGGATACATTTTCCCCCGTACCTTCTACCTATACACAATGTTATTTCCAAATATGTTCAGTGTTCTCAAACCCGTGAAGATCCGGGGTAGAATAGGTCTTCAGCAACCCGTGCTTGCCGTAAAAGGCGACTATGCGACTAACGGGATGGGGTGGTCAGGCTCGCTGACTTGGTTGATGCATGTCATGGATCCCAATTACGTGGACCGATGCTCATGATGTCAATCACTGGATGGTCTAGTCCAGACTCGAATATTTACGGACCGCCGTCATATAGCTGGAATATTGCTGAGTTTGGCGTTGAACAACAAACAAACAATGTTCTCAAATCAAGGGTAGCTACTTGGCAAGTGTGTGAGCATCCCTCATAATTAGGTATCGATGATTGTATATGTCGCTCCAAACTAAACTAATGGATCAGAAAAGGAAATATCAATATACGAGTATATGCTGGTAACAGATCTTCAACTGTTATAGCGCGAATTGTGGTATAAAGGAACACTTTTGTGCAAATCACATCTGATGAAAAGGCTTCTATAATAATGAAAGAAAAGAAAATATTTTCATTTATCATCACTTTAGAGTTAAAGCTTCATGTCATGATTAAAGAAACACCGTTATAGTGTGGCGTTATATTAGAAAAGTAACATGGCGTAATTAACCAACACCAATATGTAAATACGCCTTACTTGTACACTTAAAACGCAATGGTTACTTTACTCAACAATTGAAACAGAAGAATTTAAAGCCATTAAGTTTGAAAGAAATTCTGAATACAACAATGAATATCAAAATTTCTAAGTCTCTTGTGATAAGTATGATGTAAAAAAAGACATATCACAGTTATTAAACATTTTTTTATTACAGCTCCATATAAAAACTCCGAGAACGTCATAGCTAGGGTTAGGCCGAGTCCAAATTAACTACCCGCCCCCCTATTACCCTACCCTACCCTACCCGGGTACCCACTGTAGGTCTCAGGAGATGTTCTTTAACATAGCCCTGGCAAAACGTATTTAGGTACATGTATTAAACAATCTGGTCATGCATACACTAAAGTTGACTTAAGTCATATCTTGATTCAACCATATAAAAAATCAGAAGGAATGGGTGCATAGTCAGAAAGAAAAACAAACATTGATGACTTGTAGTGCAACCATAGAGTTCGAGATAAGTTTGGTCATTACACAATATATCACGTGACTAACCACGGGTCCGGGTAGTACTGTTGGTACCCGGGTCCTACTCAGTAACCACCCGACCCGGGTACCGGCCGAGTTACCCGTCCCAGCCCTACACACAGCTATAACCGGGATGAGAGAAAACATATTGCTACTCACAAAATCGTCGCCATATCTGTCAATCTCATCGAAAACTTTATCCGGTTTCGTGTTTCCGAAAAGAAGTTTGTATTCCTCTGGGCTTATGTTACTGCTCTGAAAATTCAGGGAAGGCGGATAAATTACATTTATATGATCAATATACACCTGAGACCCAGTTATTAAAATACTTTCATGCATTATGCTATTTTTTGGCGATGGATGTCAAATCTTAACAACCATCTTTACAATTAGCAAGAATTCAAACATTGTTTCTCTGTTATGAAAACCCGAGACATTACTAAGTGGGAAGGAAAGAAAATTATAGTTATCAATCAAAAACCGAATGTTTTTTACATTTTTAATACACATATACATATTTCCTGATAAACGTGCACTAAATGTATCGTCAGTTTTCTTCATATCGATATTTCTGAATTTACACATGTCTGACAGCCTTAAGGTATTCCAAGATGCGTCCGTGTTCGCATGCAAATAAGATCGCATTGAGGTTGGAAATGTTTTGTTTTTTAAAGAAGTGACAGAAAACATAATTCCAGCAAATACCTTAAGAGCGTCAGTGAGCTCCGTCTTAGTGATATGCATGCTCTGATCTAGGTTTCGCTCACGCAGACACGCCATGAGTTTGTGGGCGATCGCCTTCACGCTATCCTGCTTCCTGTTGTCCGCGTCAATCTTTGTCATGTGAGGCAGGCGTTTTCTGGAAGGGAGACGAAGAGGTTCGGGTATATTTTTGGATTTTCATCTGTGTGGCTACGACCGGGACGCGATAAGGTACCCATTGGATAGTGACTGGGACGCGATTGAGTCGCGAATTGGTGGCGATCTTTTCTTTTCAGTTTTGTTTCTGGTACATGAATGTAGAGTTCACCTTGCACTTAAGCAAAAGTGAGGACTAACAAAATAATATCATACGATGTATATCTCACACACCCATATTTCCAAAATTGTATATTAAACGCCAGAAAATAATAATTGTCAAAACCGGTCGATACACATGTAGGGTAGATATACGGTAGGTGCCCCGTGCCCGATCGCGATCCCATAGCGACGGGACCTTTTCACAATATTGTCCTGCCCCAATGAAAATCCAGTAGGTTTCAACACGAACGTTTCCGAAATAACAATAAAGACTAGTGTACGAATCTTTTTTGTTTCGTCTTACTGGTCAGGTGCGAGTATAATCATATCTTCTTAGCCGTCGCAATACGATTTGAAAAGTCGTCCCATGTTATGTGTCGGAATGCTAGAATCGGATTCACCCCGAGTATGATTCTTGGTCAAAGCAGTTGACGTCCTGCATCACACAGGATGTCCTTTTCATAAAGAGTACTGAAATACATTTCAAGGCTAGGCCACTCACTCACTCAGCCTCTTGGTCACACCTACCTCATCGACCCGTGAAGATCCGGGGTAGAATAGGTCTTCAGCAACCCATGCTTGCCGTTAAAGGCGACTATGCTTGTCGTAAGAGGCGACTAACGGGATCTGTTGGCCAGGCTCGCTGACTTGGTTGATGCATGTCATCGATCCCAACTGCATGGATCGATGCTCATGATATTAATCACTGGGTTGTCTGGTCCAGACTCGATTATTTACAGACCGCCGTCATATAGCTGGAATATTGCTGAGTGCGGCGTTGAACAACAAACCAACCATACCAACCTACCTCATCAATGCGGTGTTAGGTCTGTCTGGGGGATAATCCTTCATGCGTTCCCCGAATTCACGTTTGAAAACCTCCCTTTCGTCGGTGGAAAACTATAACAGGAAGTTACAATTACATATACCATACATCAGCCCTTGTGATATGCATTGGTATTATCAATCAGTGAAAGGAGAACGTGAAAACATGTTTGTCATTATCCACTGCAGTTGCCTACCACCATGGCTCCGATCGTCTTCTCACTAAAGCCATCAAACCAGCTGCTCTGTTCCTCCTCGATGTTATCATGATGCAAGAAGGAATGCTTGGGGTCCATTGACAGATACCATCCTGTAAAGGGATACGCTGAATCTGTGACGGTGCAGGTTATGGCGTTACGTTCAGAGAGTAAGGGTTGCTCGACATTTAGCAATATTCATGCCAAATCAGGGGATCCACCAACAGAGGCTTAACATGAAGTTCCCTGTTTTGGGGTGAATTGCAACACTTTAACCATTAGCCTAAAGATCCGTTTTATAAGTGATAGATTATGTGGGTTAGAAAGAGAGAATGGATGCGGAAAATGAGGGATGTGTGGGTGATTGAGGGATGGAGGGAAAGATGGAGACATACGGTGACATAAAGGTGTTGGTTTGTTGTTTAACGCCGCACTTAGTAATATTCCAGCTATATGAATGCGATCTGTAAGTAATTGAGTCATTACCAAAACAAGGGGTTGCAGGTTCGAATCCCACCAAGGATTAAAATTATTTGTGTTCATCAGTATGCCTGATAGTATTTCTCTCATTCGGGAACCTGATGAAAGTATGTCTGATTACAACTTAAACTTTCTTAGATAGTTACGACAGGCCATCTAGTGAAGACATACTCACTGATTAGTAAAGTCTACTAACATGATAGTGTCTGAGTGCACAGTGAAATTCATTAAGTAAACTTTAAAAACTATTTCTGTCAGTGTAGTACTAATGCATTTCTCTTCTATGTCTCTGTATCTGTGGCAACCGTGTGAAATGGTTTAACGTCGCGTCCAAGATTATTTTACGCATATATCGACGTGCATGCACGTGTGTGTGGCTATTTGTACTAGTGCGGACTGATGCCGCTTTATAGTGCTAGCCAACTGAGATACCATGCCGCAGTTTAACATGAATACCCCACTCAGACACAGCCGACCAGTTCTTGTTTTAGCCCCTTAATGCCGAGCTCCAGACAGGGTAACAACAAGTACCATCATTTAACGTCTTTTGGTATGACGGAGCGTCCCCGGGCGGACGCTCTACCACTAGGCCACGGAGGCGGTCCTACTCATATGTCAACTCTCCACAGATAATACCCATTCGTGACCAACTCGTGTTATTCCGGGACAAGCCGAATAGCGACTCGTGCCCCCCTCATGGACATTTTTGCGACCGGGTTCCGTCTTAGTGCAATCGGGCATAGCTAAAAACAATTGTCAACTCGTTGCGTAATGGTTAACACATTTCGCCATATATTATATATATTTCAGATGCAATTTAAAGCACATCGGGACATGCAGAATGTCAGTATGATTGAACACATGTAACTGTGTTTTGGGTATATCTTTAGATGCAAGACAAATGTAAAATCAAAAATTATTTCAAAGGGATTCTTTGTCGTATTTTCGCACATAACATTCATCAATAGGGGGACGAGTCTTCTTGCAGGTTACGGAAAGGGGCGAGTGGTAACGAATGAGATAATACCTAATGATACAGAATGTCTATATTAGTATGTTTAACTGCGTACCATCAAAAGTGTTGATGGGATAGTTGTTGAGAACTCCGCCGTCAACGAAGTATTCTCCTCTTCCGTTCACAAAGGAATACTTTGGCTTCATCACGACTGAAATCAGACATACGAAGTGAAACACACAAATAACAGACACGTTATATTTTATGAATATGGTACAATATTCATACAGTTCCAAGGATGTAATATATGTTTGAATTTCAATTTAATGTGAAATTAAAGTATTACAGCTGACAAATGGACCAGAAGACATGGCACATGCACAAATGTTTTTAAACATACATACTGTCAATCGAATTCTCTTCAGTAAACCCCCTTGGCATAGTGGTAAAGTCATTACTTAGCGCCCTTATTATATTATCAAATATTTTTCAAAGCTCGACAATACGAAACGCACAAATGCGACATATGGCCAAAATGTGCCATTGTCGCATTGTCGCGATTTGTTTAATTCTGACACTTTTTGCTAACTTTTGTAAGGGCGACAATGCAACAACGCGACAATGTCCTTTCTAGGATTCCATGGTATTGTAAATAAAGGTGACAAAACCCCTTCCATTGTAAATTTAATTTATATTATGTGTTCACGAATCACTATCAAACTGTGATGATGCCAGGTGTTCCTGGAAAGGTGAGAGAATCTGGCCCTTTTGATATGTTATTAAGTACAACCTTGTTAAAATATATTAATCTCGTTTTGGTTATATGAATGAACGTGTTCACGAAGGGCAACTCACCCTATTACTTACCCACTCACCCACTTACTCACTCACCCACTCACTCACGCACCCACACACTGACTCACATCCCCACTCACTCACCCACTGACTGACTGACTCACCCAACCACCCATTCACTCACACTCTCACTCACTCAGTCACTCACTCGCTCATTCACTCGCTACATCACTCACTCACTCACTCAGCCACCCAATCACTCACCCAAACCCACTCACTCACACTCTCACTCTCTCAGTCACTCACCCGCTCACTCGCTAATTCACTCACTCACTCACTCACTCACTCACTGACTGACTCTCCCAATCACTCGCTCATTCACTCGCTCACTCACTCACTCGCTCACTCACTCACTCACTCACTGGGTTTTATAAACATGGGAGAGACTGCAACTGGCGCAGGTCCTCCTCACCTGGGATGCTGATTGACATGGCGAGCGCCTCCATGATGGGGAAGTCCGGAGTTGTCTTGGGATGGAAGTACTCCACGCTGGAGGTGGACATATTGGCAGCCACGATGCACAGCTCCTTCCCGTGGTCGTGGTACAGCTGCAAGCGAGGAGCATGTATCACTGGTGACGAGGGAACCCAGAGATTGAATCGAAAGATAAACTCCGAACAATAACGTACGAAACGAAAGAGAAATGAGAATTAGAAATAATGGTAAAAAAAACAAAACAAAGTGGTATAATTGAACTTCAATTGTATATGCATTTAAACTAACAATCCATATTATGAGATAGGATATTAATGCATCTGATATTACAGACACTTAGCAAGTGAACGATGGTAAAATGTAGATCAACTAATGTGAAAATGATTTGCGGACAGGTATAAGTCTTCTGAAATGTCCTCCAAAATAACCCCATTTTACGTTTAATATATACAGAATGTATTTCCAGAATGTTCTCACGGATAAGTCTGTATTAATTACAGAGCCTGATACAATTATATCAAATACAGCCCATGCAAGTCTATAATGTTTGGCAAGTCTAGATTACTGCAGTATGAAGAGAGTCTCTGGGCTCCCTTTTATGAAATTTGTATTAAGATAATTGAACAACTTTTTTCGGTAGGATATGTTCATTTTAAAGACTAGATGTTAGTCTAACGGATTATTAGTCTGTCCTACTGGCCCTGATACAAATATATCAAATACAGCCCATGCAAGTCTATAATGTTTGGCAAGTCTCTCTGGGCTCCCTTTTATTATGTTTATTAAGATAATTGAACAACTGTTTTTTTCGGTACGATATGTTCATTTTAGAGTCTAGATGTTATGAATAATTATGAATATCGACATTGTTCAAATTCTTATACAATCTTCATAGATACTAAACTTTCACTTCATGTATGCTAATCGAGTGTAATGACTGACCCGTGCTTTGTGTGGGTAGAGTGACGGAGAACATATAGACGTTTAACTCTTGGATGAAACTAGAGGACACAGGGCTATCAGACCTGTGATCAAAGTCGGGCAATACCTGGGTATCGAACCCACGACCAGCGGACTTGATCAAACATTTGATGATTTTCATTTTACTTTGATAAATTCAGCTGATTGAAATAGTCATGGATTGTCGAGAGGCAATTATTTCAGCCGACATGTCCTTGGTGTGGATCCAGTCAGATTATAATACGTCTATCCACCTGCCCAGATCGATGCTCGTGATGTCAATCACGGGATTGTCTGGTCCAGACTCGATTATTTACAGACCGCCGTCATATAGCTGGAAGAGTGAGGCGTTAAACAACAAAAAAGAAAACAGAACCCACCCAGTTTACTAGTACTGCATGACACTATAAATCAATCTCATCAATTTTATTTTCATTTGCACTCTCCTTAGTGAGTGAGTATTGTTTAACGCAGCAGTTTTACCCATGTGGAGAATCGAACCCAGGTCTTCGGCATGACGAGCGAACCCCTCAACCACTAGGCTACCCGACCGCCCCCTCTCCTTAGTACCAGTTTAATGGATGATATATTACATTTCTGATCATCTTTCGTATAGATTCATCATCAGTTGGTAACGTTCGCCGTTGACGTAAAACAGTAAATTACAGCCATAATCAGCTTTGCTAGATCCCGATATACGTATTGTTTAATCTGTTCTCTGTTAGTCCAGTGACAGACAAGGGCACTTAGCAGTCTATATGGATACAAGTAATGGATGCTTCGTATGCAGCGCCCATTACAACGTACACACATCACGACGAACGTGACACAAATGTGACAGCAAAAACGCTGATTCGGCAAATCTAAAATCTACTCCTTCACTCAATGTTGAAAACACGTTAAGGTCACATTGACTCCGTTGCTGTGTGTATATTCCGACATATGATCTTTAGATCTGGTGGCATATATTGATTATTAGCGGGGCACGGGTCGTCTAAGGCGCCGCGATTCGCTGTGCAGAGTTGCGTACCTTGAGCGCGCCAGAAACCTATGATTGTGGGTTCGAATCCCGGTTCGTCCCGATTATGTTTCTAGGTTGGTCAGCACCATACCCGTGCACGTGGGTTTTTCACCGAAGTGGTAAACGTCTGAGACCTGCATCACTTCGGGCTTTCCACCCACATTAAGCTGACACGTCGTGTTGTAACTTGAATACTGCTAAAAGCGGCGCTAAACCCAACTCCCTCTCTCGCTATTGATTGTTAATTAGTCACACGCCGTGATTATACAATACAGTAAAGTACGGTTATAACGAACTCAAAGGGACTACTAATTTTAGTTCGTTATAACCGTAGTTCGTTATAAGCATAAAAATATACAGCATAATTATAGAAAATAGTCGGGACCAAAAAAGTAAGTTCGTTATATCCGTCAGTTCGTTATAAGCGTGTTCGTTATAACCGTAGTTTACTGTACTGTTATAACCAGTCAGGAGCACAGACATTTTTTGTGAGTCATTTTATCAATGATACAATTGTTTGATAATTACAAATGCACATATACATATATATGTAAAAACAAAATACCTGTATCGATGCCGATGTACTTAACAATACATTGAAAAACTGATATTTGTGATATACCTTCGCAGTGTCCGAGATCCTTATACGCATCATTAATTTGAAATATTTGTATAATATATTATATAATGGCTATATTTCTCGGCCGAAAACAGATAAAAATCTGTATCCGTTCGGTGTCATGTGCAGATAAATGAAACAAAATGGAAATAAAAAAGATCAGGAAGGTAGTATACATTTGGTGATTACAATTAAACTTGAAATCACCCTCTATCATTGTTGCATAATGTTAAGTAATGCCATGTGTGTATTACCATATCAAAATCTAAGATACCGAAAAACAGCTTCTAAAACAAATTTGAGCTCGAACTATATTGCCTATTATCACTGTCGACTGACCATAAATGACAGACCTAGTGACGTAATATGAGAATCTGAATTCTTAATATGATTTTCAAAATGTTGATCATGACGTTGGTGTGATGATTTTTTAGCTCACCTTGCCAAACGTCAGCAGACTGTCACCGTGTTTTCCCCGGATTTGTTCGGACATTGCGGTGTAGAATTTCTTGGCAGGGTGCCATCCGTAGCTCCAGGCCAGGTTGGGCAGGAAGGCGAGGTACCCACACGTGGCGTCTTAAGGGAGGATTAAAAAGAATGCAAATTAATTTAAAAAAACACACCAATGAGTGTGCTCTGAATTATTCATTATTTTACCCTGGTATCATTCCGAATAGAGTGAACACGTTTTTGAAATGTTCTGCTGACAGTAATAATGCCATGGAGGTATTCCTGGTCAGAGGAGCATCTAACGCTAGTCGGAAGAGTTGACTAACACGGGGATTGGGTGGTCACGCTGTATGACGTCGCCGACTATGTCATCGTACCAAACAAGTTTGTGTCGTTTTAATTTGGCATATAATTTCATTCCTTGGTGTGTCTGTTTCAGCTACTGTTATTTACAAGGCACAGCGGTATAACGGCACTAAGCAACATTCACTCACTCATTCAGTATCGAAAACTATGATATCTCGAAGTACGTGTCCAGTACAGTGTCTGAATTTTATCTGAATCGACACAGGCCTCCTTGTGGGAAGAAAGTCAAAGGTGACGAAAATCGTAATTAAGGATTACCTAAAAGCAATACACAAATCGATGGTATGTCCCAGACATAGGTGTTGGCTGAAAACATGGCTCACGCTCGGTCTAAATCTAGGATTCGAATCCCAGACCTGCGGAACCTGGCTGGACCAAAGGTCGCAACTCTGCAAAGGCGAAGCGATTTTCGTTATCTTACATCACCGGGCCTTTTGCCTCCGGGATGATGCCGTCTTGATGCAGATCAAAATGAAAGCAAAGGACATGTAATACTTGCCGAGGAAAGCCGAGGCGTCTAACGTCCTGGAGAATTCCTTGACTTCTCGAGGGGTGAAGCCCAAAGCCATGAGGGTAGCAAACACTGCCCCCATACTGACCCCAGCGAAGCGATGAAGTTTGTCATAGATGCCGACTTCTTGGAGGACCTGGAACCAATGTAAATATACTGTCTAACACGGTGTCAGGTCAGATGTCCCTGCGAAGAATTAGTCTGTGCATTTGAATGACGTCTTGTGTACTTATATCGCCAAACGATGTCAATGGCGTCACAAGGTCTTTGTTGCAGATGCAGGATCTTGACCCGAATGTAAATACACTTTTGCCAAAATTAATTTTTCTCTTCAATGTCTAGTGTTCGTCTGTATATGCATATACGAACCTGAATCGATATATGACACGTTTAATACATTTTATGAACATGTATGTACCCGAAGTAGTAATATTTAATCAACTTAGTTTTATGTTGGCTTGTACACATGGTAGTATTGCCTCATAATGAGTCATAGCTGTTTGTTTAACCTTCGAACGGATTAGATGAAGGGATCAAAATATAGACTTTAACAACCTTAAGATTATCACTATCACCACTTTGTTTGCCTGTTCACGTACCGGCATTGTAATTATATTAATAATTGAAACATCATTACATGTCCTATGTAATCTATTCATGAATAAAAAGAACCCGTGAAGATGCGGGTTAGAACTGATCTTCAGCAACCCAAGCTTGTAGAAAGAGGCGACTAAAGGGATCAGGTGGTCAGGCTCGCTGACTTGGTTGAAGCATGTCATCGTATCCAACAGACGTAATAACGCTGAGATACAAATGAGATAGCCGAACATAAAGCTACCACATCGATGACCCATGAAGATCTGGGTTAGAATTGGTCTCCAACAACCATGCTTCTCATTAGGGGCGACAAGACGTGTAAGAAACGACTTACGGGAACGGGTGGTCAATTCGCTGACTTGGTTGATGCATGTCATCGTATCCCAAATAAGTAGGACCCGTGAAGATCCGGGGTAGAATAGGTCTTCAGCAACCCATGCTTGCCGTAAAAGGCGACTATGCTTGTCGTAAAAGGCGACTAACGGGATCGGGTGGTCAGGCTCGCTGATTTGGTTGATCCCAATTGGGTGGATCGATGTTCATGATGTACATCACTGGATTGTTTGGTCCAGACTCGATTATTTACAGACCGCCGTCATATAGCTGGAATATTGCTGAGTGCTGCGTAAAACAAAAAAAACACCAACACACCAAATAAGTAGATCGATGCCCATGATGTTAATCACTGGATTATCTGGTCCAGATTCTCTCATCTACAGACCGCCGTCATGTAGCTGGGATATTGCTGAGTGCGGCATTAAACAACAAACAAGCAATTATCAATTTAGTAAACATACCTCAAGCGTTCCCATATATGCTATTCCTTTTGCTCCCCCTCCTTCGAAAACGATATTGTCAAAATCGAAAGAAGTTTGCTTCAGTATCCACAGACTGTCTGACTCCATCGCCATTTTGCTAGATAATCACAAATATATCCAAGCTAATTGGCAATTCTGGTCAGTGCACTACGGTGAATTATGTAGGTAAACAGGGCGGGGCTCGTACAGGTGTGTGTTCTGAATAATGTGTAACTTTCACATTCAGAACTAAGTTTCGAAGGAATATTATTATTGAAGAGTAAGTTATATCAGCCTCCAATCATGCTTGAAAGGCACCAATCGCACATATTGCACACAGACGTGTCTGTAAGGTTGGTATTTCTCATCCTAATGTTTAATTAAGTGCGCGTTTAGGCAAGAACAGCATGTGGTTTCGCTTGATATCACTCTTACAGGCTTACATAAACCGAACACACACACACACAGACACAAAGAGACACAGACACACACGTGCACACGTACACACACACTCGCACGCACGCACGCACACTTACACCCACATCCACACCCACACACACATATATATATATATATATTCGGTTTATGTAAGCCTGCAAAAGTAGTGTCAAGTATATAAAGCACGTGTCATCAGTATTGTCTGGTCCATACACGATTATTTACATATAGCTGGAACGCTGCTGCGTGCGGCATGCAACTACAAACAAACAAACAAACTACTTACTACATATATGAAGATAACAACTTCTTTCTTACACATACACAACGATTCAGGGCTACTTCCTTCACATGATAAAGAACAAGAAGTAATCGTTTTGTATGTAAAAACGAAGTTGTTACCGATAATACTACTTATTGTCAGGTCAGCATCCAACTTCTAAATGCTGACAAAGACTTACATTAACTAGTAAATGATACAAATACATACCGACCATCCCTGTTAAACAGCCCTTGTCCCCAAATGTAAAATTATTGACGTAAGACCAGGCCATCTCCCGCTCCAAATGATAATTACTAAAGTATTTTAAAAAAGAAGTATCCAATATGGAGGTAGCTCAGAATTTCAATGTCGGATAAAAAATTAAATTCCAGAAGTTTGGGGTGGGTGTAACAGGTCTGCAGTTTCCCATCTTACAAAGTTTTGAGGGATTTTACAGCTCAAGCCAATGATTATATTGCTCTTGAACAGCATCATCACATGTATGTTAAGTTTTTGTTTGTTTGTTGTTTAACGCCGCACTCAGCAATATTCCAGCTATATGACGGCGGTCTGTAAATAATCGAGTCTGGACCAGACAATCCAGTGATTTATATCATGAGCATCGATCCACGCAATTGGGATACGATGACATGCGTCAACCAAGTCAGTGAGCCTAACCACCCGATCCCGTCAGTCGCCTCTTACGCCTTTTACGGCAAACATTTGTTACTGAAGACCTATTCTACCCCGGATCTTCACCGGTAACATGGTGTTTTGTTTTGGTGTTGGTGTTGATCTCGTGTTCTCTCTTGACAATATTAATGTACCTGATTTGTGTGCTTTCTGTTCGTGAAAACCTCATTCAGGTGCCAACATCTTCACAGTTTAGTTATTGGGGTGTATGGAGGTATATCTCAAAACATTCATTTTTTAATCCGACATTGCACTTTTGAACTGGTCCCTTTGGGTCAACTAGATTTATTGGATGTTAGTTTAGTGTGAAGGGCACTTGCCCTATTTCGATGTGCGTCACAATATCCTTATCGAAACCATGGCCACATGGCAGAACAAGGGAAAGCAGCATGTGAATGTTGCAGCACATACAATTCATTCTAAGAGGATGAACATTATTCACTTGAACATTGATTTTTTCAAAAGTTTGCACATCGGTTCTTTTATTCATACCTCAATGAACCGAAAATAATATACAGTCTATGCTTATAATCAAATTCGACAATGAAAACATGTTTATCTACAATAGTCTAACCAAAATTAGTTCTGTATATCGAAGGCAGACAAAAATGACGACATTTATAAACATTCGAGGTGTAGGGATACATACGGTGGCGTGACATTTACCAGGTGATTGTTTAATTTATGCACATAATTTGACACGCCTACAAAGTCATTAGCCAATCAACGTAGAATAAGATCAAAACAATGTTCACAGGACCTGTCAATCAAGGCAAGAGGCGAGAAGAAATGCACCAGTCAGACTGTCACGAACCGGAACAAATATGTCCGGAAGGCGGCTGTTTCAAATGACATGGTCCGTTACCGCCAGATTCAAACATTATTTCCCTGAAAACGGGAAGACGCAGTTTGAACAATGCTAGTCAGAAATGTAACCCGAAGACATTTAAGTTGTGGAACCGAGGCGAGCGGGAAAAAAAACAGGCGAGCGAGCCTGCACGTTTGCTGTTTTATTCCTTCTCGGCCTTCGGTTTCAAAGGGTAGTTTGGACAATGAATATGCATGAATGTCGCTAAATGTCCTATGCAAGACGATACACGTGAGCAGAAAGGGAATTCCCTCGACTGTAATATTGGGATTCCCCGACATTCAGTAGTAATAATGTAGTGCGCCTCGGTGGGCGTGGCTTTTTTTTTTACATTCATTGGGAAATGAATGCAATAACACAACGGATATTTAATTATTTATCATTGTCCACAGTACATTGATATAGACAATGACTATCTCCGGATCTCGAGAACATCATGATACCAAACAAGATATGATATTTCGCAGACATTGCTCGTTCATAACACCAGACATATATAAATGACCATTTGTATGCATGTACACTAATTTCTATTCTCTAAGCAAAAATACCTGAATTATAATTCTCTGTCTTGATACATTATATTAATTGAAATGGAAATATGCACCGCAAAATGATCAAATGATGTATCTCCCCACTAAGTAAATACTCTCCAGAACAGCAATAAAATTGAAGCATCCATCGTCTTCAAACTACCTCAAACAATCAGGTGTGAAATACGGGTAACGCAGTTAATCCGGGAAGTACCATATCGAGTAGTGAGTGAGTATGGTTTTACGCCGCATTTAGCAATACTCCAGCAATATCACGGCGGGGGACACCAGAAATGGGCTTCAAACATTGTACCCATGTCGGGAATCAAACCCGGGTCTTCGGCGTGACGAGCGAACGCTTTAACCACTAGGCTACCCGACCGCCCCCCATATCTAGTTACCAGTAACAGTAATTGGTCCAGGTTTATTGTTTCTTCATTACCATAACATTTATGAACTTAAAAGGGCACCACTATCTTACAATATTTACATTTTGACACTATTTCTAAACTCATATGTCTGTATTTGTTGTGTATGACGGCGAATTGTAAAAAAACGAATCTGGTCAAACCAATGGTTGATATAACGAGCAAAGTCACATTCCATCGGGAAACGATGACACGCAATCAGCCACGTCATTTACTCTAACCATCCCATCTCATTTATAATTAATCGCCCCTAACTACAAGAAATGGAGTGACGGGGGTCATGTCTAACCCTGGACCACAGGACCCGTGAAGATCCGGGGTAGAATAGGTCTTCAGCAACCCGTGCTTGCCGTTAAAGGCGACTATATATGCTTGTCGTAAGAGGCGACTAACGGGATCGGGTGGTCAGGCTCGCTGACTTGGTTGAAGCATGTCATCGATCCCAATTGCGTGGATCGATGCTCACGATATCAATAACTGGATTGTCTGGTCCAGACTTTATTATTTCCAGACCGCCGTCATAAAGCTGGAATATTGCTGAGTGCGGCGTAAAAAAACAAACCAACCAATCTGGACCACAGGATGGATTTTCTACGTGAAAAGCTATTACTTGAATACAGACCTGCGCCACCCCACAATACGCCACTCCTTTTCCGCCACCTCCTTCAAACACAATATTTGTATAATCCAAGTTGGCTTTCTTTATATCGTCAATGAATCTGTCGGCCATGACGATACTCAACAGACAGATTACTTGCACAACCTCTCCAGACTTTCTTGTCGCCCTCAACGTTGTTGAATTACCTGCTTCTCTTTTCGGTTCAATATAAATTTTCAGTGGTGGGCTCATTTATAAATAATTTGAAACAGTAAATTTTCCTTTAGGTCAGGTATGTTTGCTTTGTGCTCCATTCTACATAGCAACACGATGGTTGTGTGGTGTACTTCAGATGCTATTATCGTATCAGCTGCACTGTCTGAAAGAACGAATGAACGGTGGCGACATAATTTGAGATTATTAGCCGAGTGTGTTTCCGTATCGTAAATAGCATATATAAGGAACAACAACAGTGTTATGCGATATTCTGGCCAGCATAAAATGTTATGTTCTGAAAATGTAATATTTTCAATATAGAGTGAATGAATCCTTAGCTGTTTACCACTGTGGGGTCCGGTCGTACATGGGTTCGAACCCACAATCATAGGTTTTGCAGCTCTGTGCAACTAACTGGGGCGCTTTAGACGATTGAGAATGCCGCACTTGAGCTAAATCGGAGTATAAGGCTGAAGTTACAATTACAGAGATAGTAAACCCATCACTAATGCGGTAGCTCAGTGGTTAAAACGTTCGCCCGTCACGTCGACGTCCTGGGTTCGATTTCCCCTTGGGTACAAAGTCATAGCGCGTTGCTCATAATAAGACTTGACCAGACAAATTCGCTGATTTCAGATGATTATCATCTTGTTGGTTCCTTGTTAGTCCCTCTAGACAATCATCTTGTAGATATGAACATTTCCACACGACGCGTTAATTTTAGGAAAGACCGGCAAAATGTTGGCTTGGTGGGTCTTCCGTAGATAAGTGGGGTTTACAGACGATTTATGTTTCTGATAAGCGTCGTAAAGCCTTACCTCGCCGATAACGCTGTGAAGTCCCCTATATTTACACATACATGTACATCTGTCCACAGATTCCGTCAGGTAAAGGACTTTGCTCATGTGACATTATTCAGTAAGACGAGTCATTGTTTTGGTGATACGCGTAAAGCTGTGTCCAGGATTAGGGTAATCATTGTCGTTATATTGATATAACAACGTTTGTCTTATTGATGGATCACCCGTTTTTATCTAACATTTGGGATGTTGTTTTCCAAGAACGTGTTTAATCTGA